GTGGAGGAGGGGGTAGGGGTTGAAGGGGAGGGATAAGAAGAAGTTAGGATTTTATATAAGAGGGTCGGAAAGGAAAGGTGATAAAAGATAAAATGGGATACAAGAAGGAAAGGGGATATAAGAATGAAAGGGGATAAAAGAAGTAAAAGGGATATAAGAAGAAAAGGGATTAGAAAAGGAAGGAGGATAAAAGATGGAAAGGTGATATGAGAAAGAAAGGGGATATAAGATGGAAGGGGATATGAGAAGGAAAGGGGATATAAGATGGAAAGGGATATAAGATGGAAAGGGATATAAGATTGATGGGATATGAGAAGAAACGGGGATAAAGATGGAGCGGGAATAAAAGACAGGAATGGGATATGGGATGGAATTGGGATAAGGTTTGGAAACGGAATGAAAGACAGGAATGGGATATGGGATGGAATTGGGATAAGGTTTGGAAACGGAATAAAAGACATACGGGATGGAATTGGGATAAGGTTTGGAAACGGAATGAAAGACAGGAATGGGATACGGGATGGAATTGGGATAAGGTTTGGAAACGGAATGAAAGACAGGAATGGGATACGGGATGGAATTGGGATAAGGTTTGGAAACGGAATAAAAGACATGATTGAGGATACATGATTAAGAATAGAGGCTACAGTACGGAAGCTAGAGGACAGAGGATTAAAGATTAAGCATTGAAGATTAAGGATCGAGGATAGAGGATTGAGGATAAAGGATAGAGGATAAAGGATTGAGGATCAAGGATTAAGGATTGAGAGTTGAGGGTATAAGTTTGAAGATGAGCTGCTGGTGTATAATAGTGTCTGAACAAACCCCAACTGTGTCTGACAGGATATCAGATCCAGATAAAATGAATTTAACACAATACCAACTTCAACCCTCCCTATCTCTATTCTCAACAACCAAATTTGTTTANCCTCCTTTCCTATCCCTTCCTACTCCTACTCATACTCCCCCCAAAAATATACTGTGTTAACCCCACTATTCCCCTATAGGGATTGCCCACTTAAAACCAACTAGTCCATATATCCCCTGCCTTTCTCTGGAAATGACTTGTGAAAATTTAAAGCAAATTTTTGAAAAATATTAAATTGTGAACAAACATATCTATCACTTAATATCTCTCTTTTCAATTGGTGTCTACTTTTATCTATCTATCTATCTATCTATCTATCTATCTATCTATCTATCTATCTATCTATTTATCTATCTATCTATCTATCTATCTATCTATCTATCTATCTATCTATATCTATCTATCTATCTATCTATCTATCTATCTATCTATCTATCTATGTATCTATCTATCTATCTATCTATCTATCTATCTATCTATCTATATATATCTATCTATATATCTATTTATCTATTTATCTATCTATCTGTAAAGTATTGAATGGCATATTGATCCTCTACTTGAAGAAATGCTTGCATGAGAGATTAGTTTGGATATATCTATAGTTGATATATATCTATTTATATGTCGAAGAGGATCTATTGATGACTACATGTGCATACAGGGTGGTGTTATAAAACCTTTAAAATGGTACAGGATGAAATTTCATTAAATACAGGACTTCTGTATTTGTCTAAGAATGTTAAAAGCATGGAAACGATTAAGAGAACAGAATAAAAATAATCTGTGATCTTTAATAAAAATATTTTGTGTTTACTCCTAGCCTCGGTATATAAGGTAACCTACAAGTTTTTAAAAAAAATGTTTTTCTAGTAAAATTTTGTATTTTCAAATAGTATTTTTTATATGCATGGCCAAAAGTAAATATAATCTGAAGAAAACGCCCCAAAAACTCAAATACAGAGCCATTTCCTGAAATTTCTTACATTTAAGACACCCATAAAACTGTGGTAGATTACTAGATGAAGACGAATGCTCGATAAAGTGACAAGTGATTTCAGGAAAAAAGAAGGAAATTGTTTTCAAAAAATGTTTAAAAACTGGAAACACGATAAAATATATATATATATTCTCACTCTCCCACTATTTTATAAAGATTTAAATAAGTACCTGTCAACGGAAGGTCACTTAAGATTACAATGACAGTCCCTTTAAAAGATATTATACCACCGCTATTCCCTAAAAAAGAAATTATTATTCAATTTTGCCAATTTTTTCCTTTATAAAACGAATTCCTCCAGTTATTTTGCTTTTATTCTTTAACTAATAGCAAAATTTTTGAGAGTTAAGTAGAGAGTGTGTATGTTTGTCTGATAACTGTTTGTTTGTCTCCGTCGGAGTTCCAAATATTTGCCGGCAGTCACCTCTCTCCCTCTGTGGAGAACGGAGAATATTATTTTCTAAGAAACTTCTTAAGTTATTCATTCGTATCTAAAGACAAACAATAATAAATATGTATCTTTAAAATTTTTTAAATTATTTAGCATTAAAGGGACTGTTTGCGTAGTTTTAAATTCAAAGATGACAATGTCTAAATCACAACGGTACCCTTGATTAAACCTTTATCTGATCAATAATTGTCGTTGTTTCTATGTTTAAAAGTGTTTAATTCTAATTATTCTTTTCTGTTTTCCTGCATTAAATAAATTCGCATGTCACTTTCGTAGAGAAACCGCAATTGCAAATAATAAGTTTTGAAAATTATGATATCTTAATCATACTTCATTAAATTGCCATCTTTGCATGGAGGGTCACTTGAAATTACGCGTATAGTCCCTTTAAGAGATAATGGTTCTTTACTTATGTATAATGATTTTGGTTTTCAAAACCTTAAAGGGACTGTTAACCTTAGAGGGACTGTAAACCTTAAAGGGACTGTACACGTAATTTCAAGTGATTCTATATTCTAAGATGGTAATATCCGATTACCAACGGTTCCCTTTGAACTGAGAACAAACGATGGAGATAAACCTGAAGTTTTCTCACTTCTTAATTTCCAGTGTTTATATTTTTGAGTGTGTTGGTTTAATGGTTAGATACTGGAATAAAATTGTAACATGTTGCTTCAACCTTTCAGATATTTCCTCTTTAATTTACATTTTATTCCAGGAGAATATTTTCAAATTAAATCTAAAGTTAATCCAAAAATAGAAGGGGGGGGGGGGGTAGGTGTCTGGTGAAAAAAAACCGTCGAGTCATAATATGTAGGTATAGTTCATATTTACAGGTTTAGGTTCTAAGAAGCGGTAAAAAAATGCTAAAAGTATGTTGTAAATTCTAAGAACTATTTCTTTATAATTAAGGATCGGTTGTTACTTTTCAAATAGAAAAAAAGAAAGATTTAAAGATTAGTTTTGTGAATAATTTAGGGTATTTAAAAAGTAAATCGACATTTGACCTCAGCAAAAAAATAATTACAGAAGAGAAAAACTATTATAAAAGTTTTAATGTGTATTGGGACTCTCTGTATATCCATATATTGAAGTTGATTGGTAGACTGATTACATACTTATTTAACAATTGCAATACAGAGGGGGCGCACTAGTATTCAAACTATTCATATACATTACAACGTAACATATACATTACAGCTTAACATATACATTACAGCGTAACATATACATTACAGCGTAACATATACATTACATCGTAACATATACATTACAGTTTAACATATACATTACATCGTAACGAACTGTAAATTATTTATGACGCGTACACACAGTCTCTGAAAATATATTAAAATTTGACAACATAAAATCTGAAATTGTGTAAAAAAATATATTTAAAGATAAGTTTAGATCACTCTGTACTGGAGATTTGGACTAGACTACTTCCGCTCCTTTCATTCTCCTCATCCCATCCTAGATTATATGTTTCATCCTACTCCTATGTTTTCATGTTTTATTGTCATCCCATCCTAGTTTATATGTTTCATCCTAGTCCTATGTTTTCATGTTTTATTGACATCCCATCCTAGCTTATATGTTTCATCCTAGTCCTATGTTTTCATGTTTATCATCCTTTCCTTGTACCTATTATTCATTCTTATTTCATCCTTGATGCTTTGCACTTTATCATCCCATCAATTGTTTCTCTTTTTCTTTCTCATCCCATTCTCGTTCCATCTATATACCAGATCTTCCATCTTTTCTATTTCAGTCTCATCGTTGTTAAACATTTATTTTACCTCAAAAATATAAAAAAATGAGTAAGTACAGTGGTAGGTGATTATATCAATAAATGAAGACGACTTTTATGATTGCTGATAAACTTTTTTAATTGAAAGCTTCTCTTGACTTCTAGGACGAGGACAGGAATATTTTTTCTAAAATCTTTAAGGTTTTTTTGCTCGTTTGTTTGTTTGTCAATCCTTCAATTTCCCTTGAAATTACTGTTCTATCCTGTCACGAAGGAATTTAATAAGAATTTAAATATCTATCCTGAAATATCTATCTAGCTCTCCAGATAAATTCATCTTAATATATTCTATCTATCTATCTATCCAGATATAAATACATATCTAGATATCTACATATCTATCCAGTTATTATAATCTATATATCTATCTATCTATCCAGATTCCAGATATATTCATGTACAAATCTTGTAAACCACTCTGTTACATATTATCTACAAAAATTGGATTTTTTAGTGCTGGGGTTTCTCCTTCTCTTCCCTTTTTCCCTTTTCTATTCACCCATCCTCCTTTTTTTTTAAATTACTTTGTGAATTGTGTAATGTATTCGTTATTTGTTAATTTAAAAAAATAAAATATATCCAAAAACTTTGGAGGGCCAGCCAATCAAAACAACCAGAAATGGTTAGGCTGTAGCCCTGGCTAATATTTGTTTAGTAAACAATTATAAAATGTAAAATGTATTTATTATAATGATTGCTGAAATATCTATCTATCTATCTATCTATCTATCCAGATGTATTCATCTATATATAAATCTATCTATTCAGATATATTCAGTGATAACCAGAAAACTCTGAAATAGGAAGACGACTTTTAAACTCAAGTTAGGACTTAAACTAGTTCACTGAACATTAGACATAGTAAATAGACCCATTTACCTTAAAAAGTGTTTTGCTAAGTTAATAGTAACAATATCTGCTTTGTAACAACATCTAAACGCTTAAGTATTGCTATAATGTAATCTTTCTATTCCATTGTTTTCTGGTTATCACTGTATTTATCCAGATATATTCATCTATATATCTATCTATCCATCTAAATTTTTTCATCTATATATCTATCTATATCCATCTATCCATGTTTTCATAATTGAGCAGTGATTGTAGTGAATCCTATAGTACCAGGTTTTAAAGGACTGTCGACCCTCAGTCTAAGCACATGCTCTATTCACAACGGTACCCATAAACTATCGTCTGGCCAAAAATGATGTAGCTATCCTTGTTTTTGTATCTAAACGTTGTTCCAGAGAAAGGTAACAATGTTTTTCTCAATTTTGTTTATAAAAAGATCTAAAGAAAATTGTTGTGAATTGGGCATCCAACTCTTTCAATTATGGATAATCTGAAATTATGTCGACAGTATATTTAATGGGGTCCTCTGTATGTATAGATGCTCAACATCTTCTCTTTTATTTATAAATAATAATGTCAACCTCTACCAAACTTCCGGCGACATCAATTTTCACTCGCAGACTTTTTTAGTCTTAGAATCAAGATAATGGGTGTTGATAAATACTAAATTTGAAGCAATTCATCACCGCCTAGTGTTGTGAGAAAAATAAATCCTTCACGTAGGCCGATCAGTTCCATCCCCAAGAGATAAACAGCCTTCATTCAGACCAGGATGGACACTATTCGAGAACGTTTTAACTAGTAGTCCTGACATCCTAGAGTCATTGTTAAATTAATTTCCTTTTTGTCAGGTAATAATTAAACCGTTGAGAGAAAAAAAGTGTGGAGTATTTAATTTTTTTTACACCCTTCAATATAAAGAAATTTTTAGGTTCATAATTTTTTAGATTTCAAAGAATGGGATGATAGAAGCTTTGATTGAGTATTCATCTGGAAATTGACGCAAGGAAATAACAGTTTTTCTTCAGAGATCTTGGTTTCAGAGTTCTTGGTGTCAGAATTATTGATGTCAGGGTTCTTGATGTTAGGGACCTTGGTTTTAGAGTTCTTAGTCTCATGAAGTTCTTGGTTTCAAATTGGGTTTCCAGTCGAAAATCCGTTGAGCGGAATTGCGCGCAATGGTTGCTTCCGCTTGGGCCATTTTTTTGCGCGCAATTGCGCTATAATTGCGAACAAGAAAGGAATTAAATATGTGCGGAATTGCGCATAACTGGGCGGAATTGCGCGCAACGGAATTGCTTTTCTATTTAAAAATCAATAAATATCTCTGTGAATTTGTAATTTTTTTATTTTTTAAAGCATTAAAACTTCAAAATTCTTTCCGATAATTCATTGTGGTAATTAATTTTCAGAAAACAGTCCCTGTTTTGGGTTAGTTTTAGCAATCCAGGGGGCTCAAATTGGAGGGGGGCTAACCCCCCCCAAAAAATTAAACCCCCTGGACTAAATCCTGAATACGCCTCTGATTAAGCTACTAATTAACAATTTTATATAATACATTTTTCATTTCTTCACATTTGATGAACATTAAAATGGAAACTTTTTTAAAATTGTAAGGTTCGTTTAATCAAAATTATATATTTTGGTACAGTGAGAACCAGAAAACTATGGCACAGAGAGTGTATTTGATGTCGTTACAAGCAAAAAAATAATTAGTTACTAAAATCAATTATTCAGTTAAATGGATCTGCTTCAGTCTCAAATGTCGTCTTTCTATGTCAGTTTATTGTATGCCACTACCAAAGTTTAAATTGAAGTTTTTGCTGTTGAAAGGAATTGCGCAATAATTAATTGCATGTATTGCATGCCATAAGATTTTAATTGAATATTATCAAAAAATTCAAGCACAAACGCAAAACAAGTCGGACGGAATTGCGCGCAAGTGAATTTATATAAATTCACTTGCGCACAAGGGCTCGCAATTGCACGCATGTAAAATTCACTTGCGTTGGAAACTCTAGTTTCAAAGTTCTTGGTTTAGAAACAAATATGCAGTAAACTCTGTAGAATACAGTGAGGTCTGCCATTCTTCTTCTGGAATAGAATATTGGTTTTAATAAGTTAAACATAGATAAAGTTTTCTTTCAACTACGTTTCTATCAGCTTTCTACCACAATAGTGGTTTGGGGAAAGGGGAAAGGGGGAGGGGGTGGATAAGTAGGATACGAATAAAAAGTTGATACTTTTATTTCAAAAATAAGATAAAATTAATTAATCAATATTCAAATGAAATTTTAATAACCAAACAATTTAGACAATTAACAAAATATTACAAACACAAACTAATATCGAATTATTTTTTTAAAAGTATGTTTCCGATGCAGAACTAACTAATTTCACACGATTCCTATATATGTATCTTTTTAAAAATAATGACAGTTACTTTGTATAGAGATTTTCTATTTTAAGGAACTTCGACACAACATAGTTTCAGTAGAAGAAAATATTTTCTTTAAATGCAGAGTGCCGATATAAGGATATATCTCTAATCGGATGATTATATAGATAGAAAGATAGATGTTACCGCAATGCAATTTCTATTAGTTCAGAATAGACACCAAACACATGACTTAACCCAGAATGGATCAGGCGCTAATGGACCGGCATACAAGAGTGTCCACAAAGGGTCACTATAATGTAAATCATTTATGGCACACGATGAATAAAAAGTATTGAAACCAATTTAAGATCACTTTAACTGTTGATAGTAATATTAAATCAATAAATTAGAAATATTTCAGACAAAACCAACATTATGCTGCAATTTAAATATTACATTTATCTGGAAGGACAGGATGTTTGTTCTGATATAATTGTATCTAATCATTCTACTATAGTAAATAATTAAGTCTGAAGAAGGGGATATAATTCTTTAATCTAAGAGTGCGCATCTCTTTTTCTGAAAAATTTACTTTTCGGAATCTAAAAGAATTGTTTAATATTTAAGACGGCTTTAGGACGAAATCATAAAAAATGTGTTTTAGTCCTTCAAGACCGATAAAAAACTTTATATAACAAAAACAATTGCAAACGATCGTAAACGATAATTAATGACCGTAAAGAAGTTTGCTGTTTCTATGAAGAGGTAAAAGAAACTGAGTTCTTGGCAGAAACTGATCATTTTTTTTACTAAGTTTTAGCAACCTGATGTTGTAGACATTTTATACTTCAAATAATGAATTCTGTTAGATCAAATAGTCTAAGTTTAAAATATCATATGATATACATCAAGAAAAGTAGAACGTGTCCAGCTCTATATGATATATATATATATTAAGATAGTCAGCTACACCTTAAGTTTCTTCAAGTGTATGGTTGAGTACACTCATTTGTATACAGATCTAAATCATGTACTTCATTCACTTTCATAGAACTTTCTATAGAAGAAATATTGAAAACAGGAATCCACAAAACAGATGTTTGGTACTTAAAAGTGTACAACACTTGTGTATAAATGATAAAAATGACAATTTTTTCCATCTCGAAACTATTTCTAGAACAAAACTTCACTTATTGTTAGGTCTGTTCATTTTTGCAAAAAAAATGTTTTGCCGAATTTTGATCTAAAACTGAATATTTGAAGCAGTTAGCAAGAATGGTTGAACAGGAAAAACCTCAAGCTGGTGAAAAGGTAAATAATCTTTACATTTGAAATCTTTTCAGTCAGAGTATATTCAAAATAACTATTTGCTCAAAATAATCCATCACCCTGTCATTTGTGTAATGTGGGGGAAATGCGCCAAACCGCGCAATTCTCGTCTTCCATGTATAAAATATATTAATTGATTAAATGTTCAGGGATCTGGCAGTGTAGAAAGATGGCGTTGGAAGGATCTTCTTATTCTTTTATCCTTTCTCTTCTCTTTAGTCTCTCTGAGTTCCATAATTTGGTAAATCTTGTTCTTTATGTTGCTTTTTAGTACGTTGCTTTTTTCGCCCCTTTTTTGTTATGCAATACAAATATATTTATAGAGATAGAGAGTTATTTATCTTTATCAAATGATTAAATAACTGTTTTGATTTATTAACTTTTTATACTTTCCTTTTAGGACTTATGAACCCAGTCTCCATTTCCCTTCTCCTGTATATCCTAGTCTATGTGACGAGGATAAAGTAGTTCAGGAGATCCTTGAGAAAGTAGAACAGAGCAGTATGAGTATACCTGAAGAACTGCTCAACCTCAAACTAAACCTAAAAAATCTACTCCGACAGTTTTCGGACCTCACCACTGATCAAAACACTTTGAAAACTGATGTTTCAAAGTTGAAAAGTTACTCAAGTGAGTTAAAAAGTGATTTTGCAAGTCTGAAACATGAATTTGCAATGGTGCAAAGTGAATTTGCATATTATGCAAGCCTGGAAAAGAATAGAAGAGACTCTACAGTATTAGGAAAACATAAAATCAATTTTATAAAAAAAATATATTTCTTCTCAAGATAAAAAGTTGTTAAAACTGGGAGTCGCATTTTTTTTGTATTTAACCATTCGAATTTAATTACTTACTTTATTGATGGTTTGAGTTCAGATGAAAGAAAACTGACACGAGTTAAACGAGAAACAGAACATCAGAAGGTAATTATAAGTACATTTTAAATCATTTATGACATCGACTTAAGAACACTCATCTCCAGAAGTGTAAACAGGAAGGCCCCGCCAAGCCAATCCAATGGGAAAGGGAAATCTATTATTTCAAGAAGGGGGGGGGGATTAGGGTTCAGCCCCTTAAGTTTGTTGGGCCCCTTATTCCCCCTGGAATATTAAGCCCCCCATGGACATATTCCTGTATGCGTCCCTGCTTGCGTCGCATTATTCGGTAATTTTCTAATGTAAATCTTTTATATTAGATCTAGCTAACAGAATTCATATTTTATATTAGATCTAGCTAACAGAATTCATATTTTATATTAGATCTAGCTAGCAGTTCAATTCATATTTAGAAATATTAAAGGTATACAAAATTAGGTTGCAAAGATATAAGGATTAGAAAGAAAAAATTATAGTTTAAAAGTATTTAATTTCATGGAAAGTTGGAGCATTAAGCTTTTAAAGATATGATATTAAAAGATATAACAATTTACCTTTTATAAACAGAATAATTTGAATCTGATTTCTCTTGTGGGTTAGTCCTAGCACTCCCCGGAGAATATATATAATGAATATATCATCTAGTCTTGACACTGATCATAATAAAATTATAATTCCTCGTAATAAAATTGTTGTATAACATTAGCCTGGGATTTGGGGGATGTGTGAGAAGTGTGAGCTAGGAAACCTATGTAGGAGGGAAGTGTGAGAAGTGTGAGCTAGTAAACCTATGCAGGGGGAAGTGTGAGAAGTGAGAGCAAGTAAACCTATGCAGGAGAAGTGTGAGAAGTGTGAGCTAGTAAACCTATGCAGGGGAAGCGTGAGAAGTGTGAGCTAATAAACCTATGCAGGGGGAAGTGTGAGAAGTGAGACCTAGTAAACATATGCAGTGGAGAAGTATGGGAAGTGTGAGAAGTGTGAGCTAGGAAATCTATGCAGGGGGAAGTGTAAATAGTGTGAGCTAGTAAACCTATGAAGGAGGGAAGTGTGAGAAGTGTGAGCTAGTAAACCTATGCAGGGGGAAGTGTGAGAAGTGTGAGCTAGTAAACCTATGAAGGAGGGAAGTGTGAAAAGTGTGAGCTAGTAAACCTATGCAGGGGGAAGTGTGAGAAGTGTGGGCTAGTAAACCTATGAAGGAGGGAAGTATGGGAAGTGTGAGCTAGTAAACCTATGCAGTGGAGAAGTATGTATGGGAAGTGTGAGCTAGGAAACCTATGCAGGGGGAAGTGTGAGAAGTGTGAGCTAGTAAATCTATGTAGGGGAAGTGTGAGAAGTGTGAGTTAGTAAACCTATGTAGGGGAAGTATGGGAAGTGTGAGCTAGTAAACCTATGCAGGGGGAAGTGTGAGAAGTGTGAGCTAGTAAGCATATGAAGTGTGAGAAGTGTGAGTTAGTAAACCTATGTAGGGGAAGTATGGGAAGTGTGAGCTAGTAAACCTATGCAGGGGGAAGTGTGAGAAGTGTGAGCTAGTAAGCATATGCAGTGGAGAAGTATGGGAAGTGTGAGCTAGTAAACCTATGCAGGGGGAAGTGTGAGAAGTGTGAGCTAGTAAACTAATCAAACCTATACAGGAGGGAAGTGTGAGCTAGTAAACCTATGCAGGGGGAAGAATGAGAAGTGTGAGCTAGTAAACCTATGCAGGGGGAAGTGTGAGAAGTGTGAGCTAATAAACCTATGCAGGAGGAGAGTGTGAGAAGTGTGAGCTAGTAAACCTATGCAGGAGGGGAAGTGTGAGAAATGTTAGCTAGTAAACCTATGCAGTGGAGAAGTATGGGAAGTGTGAGCTAGTAAACCTATGCAGGGGGAAGTTAGAGAAGTGTGAGCTAGTAAACTAATTATACCTATGCAGGGGGAACTGTGAGAAGTGTGAGTAGTAAATTGATTAAAAGAAGGATTTTATATTCCTATTACAAGAGGAACTAGAGGAACTAGAGACAATAGCTTACAGTGATGAGAACCAATCAATGCAATTTATCTAAATTTCTAACGTTCTATCTATCTATCATAAAGTTGAGAAAATNGATAGATAGATAGATAGATAGATAGATAGATAGATAGATAGATAGATAGATAGATAGATAGATAGATAGATAGATAGATAGATAGATAGATAGATAGATAGATAGATAGATAGATAGATAGATAGATAGATAGATAGATAGATAGATAGATAGATAGATAGATAGATAGATAGATAGATAGATAGATAGATAGATAGATAGATAGATAGATAGATAGATAGATAGATAGATAGATAGATAGATAGATAGATAGAGTATTAACTAAAGCTTTTGTGATAATCTTCCCACTAATCTATCAGCAAATATAGACAAAGTGGCAGAAGAAGAAAAAAATGTATCTAGATAAAAAATTGGATGGGAAGTTTAGTTGGATAAAAATAGTTGCATGAGTATAAGTTTACTGAGATAAAAATAATTTTGTATGAATAGTTAGTTAAATAAAAACAGTCTGATGAGTAGTCTATTTAGATAAAAATAGTTGGCCGGATGGGTAGTTAATTAGATAAAAATATATTGTATGAATAGTTAGTTAAATTAAAATAGTTTGATGAGTAGTTTATTTTGATAAAAATAGTTAGAAGAGTAGTTAAATAGATAAAAATAGTTGGAAGGGTAGTTAAATAGATAAAAATAGTTGTATATGAGTTATAGTTTAGTTAGATATAAATAGTAGTATGAATAGTTAGTTAAATAAAAATAGTTTGATGACTAGTTTATTTAGAAAAAAATAGTTGGAAGGGTAGTTAATTAGATAAAAATAGTTGCAGTAGTTTAGTTATTTGAGTAGTTAGTAGTTTAGTTGTTTGAGTAGTTAGTAGTTTAGTTGTTTGAGTAGTAGTAGTTTAGTTGAATGAGTAGTTAGTAGTTTAGTTGTTTGAGTAGTTAGTAGTTTAGTTGTTTGAGTAGTTAGTAGTTTAGTTGTTTGAGTAGTGAGTAGTTTAGTTGTATCCAGATTAAGATTAAGATTTAGCAGGTGGAGAAAAGACAGCGAGATAAATGGACTTAAATATTGTCCAATAGAAAGATATATTAATGCATATGTAAAAATATTGATAAATGAATAAATATATACAGATATATTTATGAAGATATTTTCTATTTTCTGTTTTATAATCCCAAAACATGCAACCTTTAATTATACATTTGCTTCGCCTTTAGAACAACAAATTCGTTCCGTACTAACAAGAGACGAATTTAAATCAGATTCTTAAAACTATACACACATACATGTTTTCCCATACGCTGGTAGACTATGAAATCTCTCCTAAGCTGGAGAGAATAGTTTTTAATAATGCAAATCTGAGCTGCTGGAGAAAATACCATTTTGAGGAAACGACCTGTATGGGAAAACTGAATTTGAGTATTTGAGTTTTATTTCAAAACATGCTGTTACTAAAACCAATTAGTTAGAAAGAATTTATTTTAAAATTTCTTTATAAAATAAATGATAGAAGAGTAAGAGACGACTTAACATTATTGTTTTCTTCTCTGATCCTATTCTTGAGACACTCCCTTGATATTTCTTGTTTCCCATTTTTATTTTCTTGTTTCTAAACCTTCCTTTCATGGTTTTGGTCAAGGTTATAATGCAGGGAAAGTTATTTCAGAGGTGTACGCATATTTTGTACTGCAGTGTACTGTCTCTGGGTGGTAATGTAAACACAAGACGGATGTTGAAGTCTGACATGGGATCCATCTTTGACATAAAAAAATCAATGAAATATTCTGGACACAGGATACTTTATGTGAATTATCAAAATTATCAAAATTTAATCCTCCTCGGATACTAAATAAACACTGATGTATCTATTCTTGTTTACAAATTCAGCCCAGAAGAACGGGTTTCAATATGTACGCTGAGTATACGCTACTGCAATTAACTTTCCTTGCATTATAAACTTGGTCTTGGTGAAATTTTGAAAAATTTTATTGGACATTCCGGCATGTACAGTTCTGTTGAAAAACTGTCAACATTTATGGGACACCCTGTACAGTGTACATACATATAATCATACCAATATCAATATCAATATATTTTTTATTATACATCAAGTAGATATTATCTTTCATTGCTGAATTATATTTTATACAATAAATGTAACCCAAACTTCTAGATATTGTTTCTATGTAGATAATAAAAGCAGAATTGGATCAATCATAATTTTTGGTATTTTTTATATTTATTTTTCATAACTTTTTTTATGAAAATATACAAAACCACATATATTTTTAATCAAAGGGTGTACAGTGCACCGATTCTCGATGATGCAGATAGACTAGACATTCACATTTCGCATTCATCAATTTCTTGTTTCTAGTAGACTTTTAACATCTACAATAACCATTGGGTGTAATTCCATTCTAGTTGTTTCATAGTAGACTTTTGACATCCACATTAATCAAAGTGTGTATAAATAAACATTAAAATTTTTATTCTTTTATTTCAATATTTAACGTTTATTTTGTTTTATATAAATCTAGAATTCGTAAAACTTTTACATTTTCTTCTGCCTCAACTATTTCAAATATTGAATTACTGAACTGTTAATATTGAAGTCTAAACTTACTTTTACATCTATTTATGTTCATTGTTTTAACCAAACTCTAAAGAAAAAAAGTCCTTGCAAACTTTGAATTTTTGATCGAGCCGCGTATTTTTTTTTCTGTGATTAATGTCAAACTGGTGGATATTTAAATTCATGAATTAATGGCATACTGATATCATATATGTATTTTCAAATTTTCAAAGTTTAGCATCGTGCCTGTTAACAGAAGACGACTATAAAAACTTTACAAATGTAAACAGAAGACGACTGAAGAAATTGTAGAAATTCTATGAACGTAAACAGAAGACGACTATAGAAACTCTGCAAACGTAAACAGAAGACTCTATGAATGTAAAGAGAAGACGACTATAGAAACTCTATGAATGTAAAGAGAAGACGACTATAGAAACTCTATGAATGTAAAGAGAAGACGGCTATAGAAACTCTATGAATGTAAACAGAAGACGACTATAGAAACTCTATGAATGTAAAGAGAAGACGACTAAGAAAATCTACAATTCTAATTCCAGGATTGGTGGTGGAGTGGATCGGAAAGATTGGCGCGTCAAATCCAATCCATTGAGGAAAAGCAACAACAAAGACCAGCTCAGGTAAAATTAACCTTAATAATTTTAAAATATGTTGTATTTCTAGTTTTTGTCCATAGTTGGGTGTTTCTGCGAATGTACAGTGTACAAAGTTTTGATACTACTAAAGTACATTCTAAGTTTCACAATAAAAACTTAATTTTAAATACTCCCACAGCTTCTTTGAGATTAAATTTAATATTGCAATAAACCTGGTTTAGGAAGATTTTCATCAAGTTCATTTGCAATTTTAATTCTGATCGGAAAAAGTTTCATATCTCTCATGCAATTTCTGAACTATAAGGATTGTCAACAGTTTACACAGTCGTCTTCCTAAACCACAATTGTTTGAGTTCCACCGTTTATTTTAGGAGTTTGAAGGATCCGGAAGCTGCACCTGTCCTCCTGGCCCCAGGGGGAAAAGAGGGAAAAAGGGAAGAAAAGGAGACACAGGAAAATAAATCAGACATCAACAAAAATTAAAATTTTCTGAAGAAAAACAAAAAACCTTAAATTTTTTTGAAATGATTAAATTATTTGATGTTGGTTAATTCAGGGCGGGTCGGGCCTCCTGGTATCCCTGGTAAACCAGGAATTCAAGGAATCCCGGTATATTTTTATCTTTTTAATGTATATTATTATACATATAGGGATTATATACATTATATTGGGGCCTGTTGGGTTGGATAGGGAGTATACTATATACACTGTAAGAAACTTCAAATTTTTATCTAACAAAATTTGTTGGAGCACCGATTATATATAGGGACCTGTTGGGTTGGATGGGATTAAGGGTGAGCAAGGGATTGCTGGAATCAAGGGGAACAAAGGAGAAGCTGGAGCAGGAAAAAATCATACGAAATCAATAAAGTATTTTTAATGAACACTTTTCATATTTTACGATGAGCTTTCTTTTGCATTAAATAAATGAAATTTGTTATTTCTATTAGACTTACTTTAAAACTTGAAAAACATCTTTTCCTGTTTTTTCAATATTACCATTGAGAGTCCTGATTTGAGATATTTACGTATGAGGATATAATTAGGTTCCGGTTACCAGTTTATGACTAGGTAAGCTTAGTGTCTGGATATTATTTTCAAGAAATTAATATGGTTACAATAATATTTATTGTATAATCATGTAACGTATCTTTATAAAAAAAAAATTCTCGTTAAGGATCAACAAGAGCAGCGAATAGATTATTGACTTAGAAAAAATATCATAATTAAAAGTGTTATTTTTTTCTGTAAGAACATGGCTACTGATTCTTTACATGAAGCTAATTATCACTTCTATCTTTGATCTTGCAGCAATACAGTTTCTCATATTATAATATATTATATTATAATATTATTATATTATAATATTACAACGATTAATTGTCATTTTTTCTTTTAGATCCTATGTTTTTTTAACCCCCTTGTTTTATCCTGAAAATCTAATCTTCTAATCCTGATAGGAACGAGGTACTATCTCGGGGTTACCAGGTTCCTGATAACGAGGTTCTTGTGCTTAAAGGAGAACCCGGAGAACCTGGCGATCTAGGACCTCAAGGTAGATCAATCTCATTCCTTCAAATGGATCAAAATGTCATTAAAAATTAGAAAATGATTACACGATTTTCTTAATAATGTACATATGTATGAATGTATTTATTCTATTCTTTATATCATTGTCAGTTGATGTCCTGTAAACCTTTGAGATTTTAAACTTTTTTCCGACAGACTTTAAATGACTGAGAGGTCTACGAGTACGACATTATCAGGCTGAGAATATATAAGGATTAAAAAATTATGATTATTCGTGTCGAGTGCTCATCTAGTTTAATCTGATAATATTTTTCTTTCTTTCACGAGAAGTAAACTACGCATCGGGGTTTAAAAATGGTACATTTTTAAAATCTTTGTATTCAAAGCATATTAAAGAATTTCTATTTTATAATTGATATTGTGATGCTTTCATGAATTGATATTTAGGACCTCCAGGGCCCCAGGGGAAACATGGTATTGATGGTTTACAAGGCAAGCCAGGTATTTATAGATTACAATTATAAAAAACTAAATTATTTTTTTGTGTCAGAGAACACTTGGGATAAATTTTACAAAGGGGGTATAAAGTACTAAACAAAATTCTCTTAAAAATGTGAATATTTTTTTTGTTTAATACTTTTAGGACTGGACGGTTCTCCTGGTATACCTGGAGAACCAGGGAAACCAGGAAACCAAGGCAAAGATGGAAAACCTGGGATGCCGGGCAAACCTGGAGAAAAGGTTAGTCACGAATTATGCTATCTTGACAATTATGGTAACTAGGTACACCTTGGTGCTGTACTATCCAGTATATGGCAACAGGTTTAAAAGGGCTTATCGGCAAAAATTCAGTCTAGACGTTTTAGTCTCTGTCAAATTATAATACACTAAAAATAAGAAAAATAAGAGCTTGGAACTTTTAGATGTACATATTTGCATATTTCGTACCGATCAAATCAGCCGTTTAATACAATGCACGATTAAAGCTAGACTTCAATGAAGTATATTCCTGCTGGGGAAATTTCTAAAAGGGATTCTTAAAAGAGCGAATTCCAAAATGAACCATTTCCCAAGTGGGACTTCATTAAATGCACAATTGGCAAGATTTAAGTTTAGGGGCCTAAGGGGGACAGAGGAATGCTTTCCTCTGTTACCGGAGATCTACCAACAGCTATATTGGAGGGACCACCTGGACCACCTGGACCTCCAGGTAAATACACTCGAGGGACCACCTGGACCACCTGGACCTCCAGGTAAATACACTCGAGGGACCACCTGGACCACCTGGACCTCCAGGTAAATACACTAGAGGGACCAACTGGACCACCTGGATCTACAGGTAAATACACTAGAGGGACCAACTGGACCACCTGGACCTCCAGGTAAATACACTCGAGGGACCACCTGGACCAGCTGGATCTACAGGTAAATACACTCGAGGGACCACCTGGACCACCTGGACCACCTGGACCTCCAGGTAAATACACTCGAGGGACCACCTGGATCTACAGGTAAATCCACTCGAGGGACCACCTGGACCACCTGGACCTCCAGGTAAATACACTCGAGGGACCACCTGGACCACCTGGATCTACAGGTAAATACACTAGAGGGACCACCTGGACCATCTGAACATACAGGTAAATATACTAGAGGGACCACTTGGACCTAAAAATAAATATACTAGAGGGACCTCCTGGACCACCTTGGCCAAAAGATAAATATACTAGAGGGACCACTTGGACCACCTGGACCAAAAGGTAAATAAACTAGAGGGACCACTCTGATTACCTGGACCTGAAGGTAAATATACTAGAGGGACCAACTGGACATAAAGTTAAATATACTAGAGGGACCACCGGGACCACCTGGACCACGTGGACCTAAAGACATATATTCTTAAAACTTATTCTTTCATGAGATGTATAAACGTCTGGGTATCAAAGAAACTCTAAGCGAATGCAAATATTACAAAATGTTCTATTTTCCATAAAATTTTCTTTTCCATAAAAAAGTGCCATCTGCTGAAATTAATTCTAATCAAACTTTTGCTAAAAGTTACCTAGCCAGATGGTTTTGTTTAGTCTTTGCGAAAATAAGGAGATTTTTTCAGCAAAATGTAAACTTATTAACAGAGACTGATTGAATTAAAGGGTAAACCTACTTTTGCATTTTAAAAATTCTATGTTTTACTTTTGTGTAAAGGAATACTTTTTAGGCGATAATGGTAAACCTGGTGAGATGGGTCCAACAGGGAAACCAGGGGTCCCGGGACAGGACGGGAAACGAGGGAAGAAGGGGGACACAGGCCAGGGGCTACCAGGGGAAAAGGTAAGAAAAATTTTTTTAAAAATTTAAAGAGCGAGTTCTCGAATTTTGAAGATCTTTTGTCACTGCATGAAAAATGTTGATATACCCTTGCGTTCAATTTGGAATTCATCTTAGCTTTCGCAGGTCTTTTTGCGAAATTTGACAATTTCTTATTGTGCAGGGGGAGAGAGGAGAGAAGGGAACAAAAGGAGAATTGGGAACACTGGTAACATTTATTTACAATTTTCGTCTAGCATTTCATGACGTTTTATGTCATGATTCTCTTTATTCGTTTTTGAAGTTCAGAAATTAAGCTAAATTTAGCTGAGGATACGGAAATACAACTAACTGCATTTATTTTTTAGCTAATACAAAATTGTCAATGTATTTTAAAATGGGGAATNTTAAAATTATAAATTCAGAACGCTTAACGCCTATATTTGTCCAGGGTGTAGACGGATTCCCAGGTTTAAAGGGGGAGAAGGGAGACCCTGGAGTAAATGGAACCCCTGGAGAGCCTGGGGTCAGGGGCAAGAGAGGAAAGAAGGGGGACATGGGGCCTTCTGGGCCCCCAGGACTAGACGCACCCTGCCCTACAGGTATATATGTTTTAGGTTTTATTATTTTAAACTTTTTGCCTTGAAGGGTCTAAAGCAAAAAACTTTATATTCTAAAAAGATATATTTGTTAGGTCCTGACGGTTTACCTATTCCCAGCTGCGGGTGGAGATCAGGGGTAATTAAATAATTATATATTATTATTAATTATGATTAATCTAGTCATAAATTTATTAAAATAACAGATAGGGCACTAGATGTTTTCTTTTCAAGATTTATGTTTGTTTCGTTCATAGTAACCCTGAGGCAGAAGCCCAAAAGAGTTACGCGTAGTCGGCGTAGAACAAGGCAGAGAGAGAGCCTGTTCTACGCCGGCCATGTGTAACTCCTTTTGTCTTCTGCCTCAGGGTTATATGTAAACAAAATAAGATACAAACACACAAATAGATAAGCCAAGTTATACAAAATGATAGGTTGGGACTGCTTGAAGTTTTCTCTATAAAAGTCAATCTTCTCAGTCTAGAACTTTTAAACCAAGCTAAAAACAATTCCGTGATTCAGTCGAGTTCCCCGATCTAATTTGAGGTAAATCAGTGAAGGGGTTCCAGAGTTATGATCGGGCATCCAAACAAACAAATAGTCAATTGTAATTCAATGTAATATGTATTATATATAGATACAACTGGGTCCTGATACTGACCTGGCAATAGGAAAACTAAATAATAAAGAAACAAAAGGTGACTATTTTTGGAGTGAAAAAATATTTTATGGTTTTTTAATATGGTTTTGGACAAAGAATATATTTTTTAAAGATGAATATGATGATTATGATGATTATGATGATGAGGATAGTGTAGTGTACGGGATGAAGAATATATGTGTTTAGCTGAATATGATGATTATGATGATTATGATGATGAGGATAGTGTAGTGTACGGGATGAAGAATACATTTGTTTAGCTGAATATGATGATTACGATGATTATGATGATGAGGATAGTGTAGTGTACGGGATGAAGAATATATTTGTTTAGCTGAATATGATGATTACGATGATTATGATGATGAGGATAGTGTAGTGTACGGGATGAAGAATGAATTTGCTCCATCTAACAGCTGGGAGGCCGCTGGGAAAAAGGTTAATTCTAAAAAAATTAATTCTGAACCATAATTTAGTGTTTAAAGGAACCCTAATTGAAAGTCTCTAGGTATAAAAGATGTGTCTTGTGTAATATTTCAATATCTAAATCTGTTCAAAATCATTTTTTAAGAAAACAATTGTAAAGAATGATGTTTAGGATAGTTCAGTGTATGGACGTGAATCTACACACTATTCCTGGGATACAAATCCAAGATATGATAACAGTCAATGGAAGATTGCTACCCAGCCACCTGGAAAATAAAACAAAGGAATTTCTACTGAAGCTTCAATGATGTAGAGAACTTGAAGTAATCACATGGTTTATCCGCCAAAAATGCGACTGGCTCTAACATTGCGATCTTTCATTAAGCCTAGAGCAGATGTTGTGCTTTATATTTATGTTTATTTTTTAAGTCCTCGGACCAACAAAAAGGAATTTACCTAACCCATCAGACTACAAAATTTACGGATTTTTGGCGGATTTTATTTTCAAAAAAAAATAATTATTGAGTTACAATGAAAAATTTTGGCCCGATCAGTTTTGGCGTTTATTGGTTACAGATAGACAAGCAAAATTTATGAATAGAAAGTTTAACCAAATAAAACCAAATTTTCTAAACAGCGTAATATTAAGTCTGCTGTTTTGGAAAATCAAAGAATAGCTGGTTGGCTCTACAATTTATATTAACACTGAATTTGCATTATTCAAATGCTATCATATGCGTCTGTATTAACACTGAATTTGCATTATTCAAATTCTATCATATGCGTCTGTATTAACACTGTACTTGCATTATTCAAATACTATCATATGCATCTGTATTAACACTGTACTTGCATTATTCAAATGCTATCATATGCATCTATATTAGCACTGTACTTGCATTATTCAAATACTATCATATGCATCTGTATCAACACTGTATTTGCATTATTCAAATAATATCATATGCATTTGTATTAACACTGTATTTGCATTATTCAAATATTATCATATGCATTTGTATTAACACTGTATTTGCATTATTCAAATACTATCATATGCATTTGTATTATGCATTTGTATTAACACTGTATTTGCAAAATTTCAACTTTTTATATCATATCATATACAGCTGGGATGATATTCTTGGTTACTCAGTTAATTCTTTTGCATTTTGAAAATCTGTTTAAAGGGACTGTAAGCGTAATTTCAAGTGACCCTACATGAAAAGAGGGCAATTCCATTTTTACAACGATACCCTTTAAACCTTTGATTGTTCATAGAGTAAAAATAGCTCTGTGTTTAAATAACTTGAAAACCACATGAATTCCTATAAGACGTGAGATATGCTGCGTACTTTGTGAACTCATCCCAGTTGATGTGTTACTGATGTCCCAATTGACATTTCAGAAAATTTTACATTAAAAGCATAATATTTTAAAACTAAAAAAGCTTGCAAACAAAGTGTTCAAGCATTAAATACCTGATTGTAGATTGACGTTGTGAATCGGACATTGCCATCTTAGCATGGAGAGTCACTTGCAAGTATGCTGGCACTATATGATAGAATTAAACAATTACAATTTGATACAAATCTAGGTATGTTGCTTCCTATACAACCTTTACAAAGGAATTGAGTCTTAGCCACAAACTCTTATTTTCTAATCACTATAACTTTGCAACCAAATGTTGCATACCTTAGATATTTCAAACTATGAATTCTGTAACATCAAATAATTTGAGTTTGAAATATCAAAGGTTTACAACATCGAGTTCTAAAGATATTGAGGTTTAAATATTTGATTTTGTGCCAAAGACTCAATTCCTTTATAAACACACTTCTGATATTTTCTTGAATATTCCTTCTCCTCGCATACATGTATATGCTCTCCTCTTAATTAAAGAACCGAAGTAAACTTTGAAATTTAAAATATTCCTGTTTTAAACATATTTAATGTAAGAAGATATATCTTACCTTTCATAAACTTGAGATACTAATTTATACTTTTATCTTGTTTACACTGTTCTAAAACAGCAAAGATAGGATTAAAGTTTTAAGCTGATTACTGTTTTTCCGTTTTCAGAATTTTAATTTAATTCTAGTAGAATAGGATTTGTAAATTGTATAACTATAAGTAGTAAGTTAAAGAATGCGGTTCAATTTCAAGCGCTACTCGTGGCAAAGAAACTGAACACCCGGACAACAAGTCGCTAAATATTCTAATTTTCTAATCCCCAAATCCTCGCTTCCTGATGTCGGGGGCCTTTTCTATTTCAAACTTTGAATTCTGCTTGATCAAATAGTCTAAGTTTGAAATATCAAAATCTTAAAATATCAGACTGCAAAGATAAAAAGGTTTAGAAAAGAACAGTTTGTAACAAGTTGTCAGGTCCCTTGAGAGTTCTGGATATCTTTTATTTCAAATGACGGATTAAAAATAAGTCATAACAATTACTCTACTGACTTGATAAATGTTATACCACAAGTCCTGACTTTCCTTAAATCAGAAATTATATTTTGACAAAGTCACAAAATATCATTAAACCAAAGAGGTTCTTCAACCTGAGTTCAGCCGTCAAAAATATGTAGTTGAATTAGACGTAAATGGTGAACTACCTCTCTCGTTCATTAATTCCCAATTTTATTAAATTCCTTCTCGATCTGCACACAAGTCTAAATGCGTTGCATCAAGTAACTTCAAAAGGATTATTTAGCAATTTTTAAACGATGAAACTAAAAATACTTAAACTGAAAATTAAATGCAAAAAAAACTGCTTCTTTATGAGAAAAGAAAATTAATATTTGTTCAAACCATTAATAATACTGAAGATGAAAAAAATGTAATTTATGTCAATGACATTTTTGTCTTGAAAAACAATCTTGGCACCCTGTGCGTATTCTTTACTGTTTTTGGCACAAAACATATTTAAAAGAAACTAGGTGTACGTCAGCCTGTAGTCTGCAGTTTACGATGAGCAAAAAACTTTTTTAATCCATTTTGTCAATTTCCTGAAAATAATGCAAAAAGTTTTGTTCCCATTTACGATTTTCAAACTTACTGATTCGTCATATACATTTAAATATATGCTTGTCAAAAAATAACTTGAAATCTACAAATATATACCAAAATATTTATAGTCAATACCATGAATATATGAGTTCAATCCGCGCATTGATGGTTTGGTTTCGCATATATTTATAGTGCATACAATAAATCAATTATATATATACATATATGTATACATATATACATATATATATGTATGTATATATATGTAAATATCTTCTACAACAAATAATATTGAGTAGCATATCAGTAACTGTAATAAACAACACAATTTTTTTATATTTCTCTTGTTCGTGTGTTTGCTGTTATTATTTCGTTAAAATTATTGTCATTAACGTACAAATTCTTTGAAATAAAATAATCCAACAATTAATATTATGGTTTCGTTATTTAAACTCTCAATAAGTCATATTTTTAAGAACACAAATCGAAATGATAGGTTTTTATTGAAGCAACCGCCATTCTGATTTTACGGTATTATTAAAGTAACTGTAGGTTCAAGTGATCGTCCATTTGAAAATTTGTTTGATTTAAAAGTTTACCTGATCCAGGATGATGGAGCCATATCTGACGAAACTATTGTAGGTTGAAGTTGGTGATATCTTAATGACTGCACCAGCCTTTTTTCATTTATAAAAATATCACTATTAACCAAGTCACAGAAAACATATTGGACATGGAATATTTAGGATTTCCGAGAAATATGTAAATTCCAAAGAGAATAGAATATATATTAGAGAGGAATTTAGAGAATCTCTCGGTATGAATTTTTTCAGTCCCTTTCAGTCTGAAAGGGAGTTCAAAGTGTACAAATCATGTAAATGTTCACAAATTATATGCAGTAGAGTACATTAATATACAGTATGTTCCCTAGACTATCCATTTCAATTGCGAGTTTTTTAAAGCTGTTAAATAAACTTTATAAAATGAATTAGGTGAATGAAAAACATATTTATAGTTATAACGGAAAATCATCGTTTGTAAAGTAAAATGCATAAAGTCTATGTGAAATGATCATTGGTCAATTATGAAACCAACCTATTTCATGATTTGGTTTTCTTTTAACAATAATTTTAGATTTTCTATAAAATGATATTCCAGGGCCCAAAGGTTATCTGTGAAGAACACCTGCAGTATGAAAACAAAATGGCCGTTTTACACTTTTTTCTAGTAAATTCCACTCTAATATATTTTCTATTCTCTTTGTTTTGAAAGGATCCTTCTGTGAATCAGACATGGCACTCTAAGATTAGGGTCTTTTGAAATACTTTTTAAAGTCTAAACCTCTGTGCAACTGTTTCATTATCTTATAAATAAAAATAACTTAAAAATCATTAAATTTATTCTATATCTACATTTTAATTTTTATATTTTCTAACTGTAACTTTTTTTGGGAGTACAATATTTAAAACACTTAAACTTCTGACTGCAGTGTAAGACTTAATCAAGTAGCACTTCTAATATGGTGATATTAAAACAATATTAAATCTAACTTTTCGTAACCATTTAAATGGTAAATATGGGTTTCTTAGTTGTAACAGTCAAAGAAAAAAAATATTGGAAAAATCATTTTCATTTGAGAGAAATTAGTCACTTCTAAGGAATATTATGATAAAAAAAATTTAAAAATCCAACGAGAAATTAGGAAAACAAAATGCACGTAATTTTCGGGTAAATCTTTGAATTTTTTTTATTTGTTCGTTTTGGGTTTAATTGTAATTGGCAAGACCTTAAACTTTTATAATATTTATATTGTTGTCCATACAGAAGCATAAAGAAGAACATGAGAAAATATATTTTTTAATATTTGTTAAATTTAGTTACATTGTTTCAGCATTTAATTTCTTGATTCCTTCTCAATATCTACAACTGCATTGTATTTTGTCCCCACTTTCCCCAGTCTGTTTGAGTATTTATAGAAGTAATGGAGCATTATTTTCAACTGAGCATACAATACAGTACTATACAGAGTGGTCCAAGAAACATAAGAGATTTGAAAGACAATTTACTTTTGCCTTTGATTTTAAATCATTAATAAATACGTCTTTTGTGCTTTCCGACATATAAGGTCTTGATTTTAAAAATATAAGTTTTGATGAAAATGTCAATTGTTTTGATAATTTTGAGTTTTTTAAATAAATGAAAGTGTTAAAAATCAATTAATATCTTTAGTTCTTTGTCAACTTTGAAAAACCACATTTTGGAAATCTCAAGGTTGACAGTTTTTACAGTGAATTTTAAAATACCGGTTGGATCAAAGACGAGTTGTCAATAATTCCCCACGTTTTTCGGACACACTGTATAATATTTTTGGACACTGTACAGTGTACACAGTACAGTGTACCCTGTACAGTGTACACTTTACAGTGTACACGGTTTAAAAACAAATTCCCAATTTATGCTGACAATAGCAATTTGTCTTACTAGAAATACAATAACAATTAAACTAGTTCTAAAACGGTTTAGGTGTGTACACTATGTACAACCACGGTGTACACAAAACCTCAATGTACAGAATAACCCCTAAACCCGCTCTCCACTGAGACTAACTTCGTTATAGTAAGCATGGTCCGGAAACTGGTTTAGATCAATATAGTCTGTTTCCTTCATTAACATATTCTCAAAATCCTAAACAAAATATATCAAAGTATTTGCCCAACTAATGTAAATGGATTAATAGAAGTCAAATGTGAATTAGTTCCAGAAAAAGTTCTCTGTACTGTATGTACACTGTACAACAATTGGTTAAAACAATTAGTGTTATAAATCTTATGATGAAGCTTTAAAATATCCTGATATATTTATTTTCATTTTACAAAAAAGCTGTTATTAAATGGTTAACATGGATTGATCAATTGCATTTCTTGTGAATTTCCAAATTCAAAGATTCGTTGGGTGGATTGATAATTTGATTAATCTATACATTATCTATTGCCTTTAAAAGATTGATTGATTGATGGTCTTCTTACCTTGACTAGCTGTGTAAAGGATGGTCGTTCTACTGGATCATTATCCCAACAATAGTACATAATGTTGTACATCTCCCCTACACAGTACATAATTTAGTATAATTCTACTGAATCATTATCCCAACAATAGACCATTATCCCAAATTTTGTGTATCTCCCCTTTACAGTACATAATATGCGGTGACACCTTAACAGATTACTTTTAGGATATTATTGGAATTTTGTGTTCAATTTTGCAAATTTGTAGATTTCGATTTGTTTCTTCAAATTATTTTCGTATTAATATTTTTGAATAAACTTACTATCACAGTGTTCAGGTTTCTCTAGCCTATGACCTTCCTTGACCTTCTTCATGACCTCTGATCCTGACATCCCTGGGTACGGTGTTGACCCCAAAGTAATGATCTCCCACATCAGAACTCCAAACGACCAAACATCACTTTTTCTAAAAAAAAATATTAAATGTTAATTCCATGCAAAGTAAAATATTTTAAATATTTGTATCATTTTTTAAAGCTAGTATTTATACTTTTATGTCAAAAAGTAAAATAATTATAAATTGTAAATAGTTTTGAGTTTGATATATAGGTTTATCATATAGTCACTCAATAATCTTTTCTTTTGCTAGCAAGCCATGGTGAGCATTTGTATCATTACATAAATAAATGACATAATAAAATATAATTAACCAAAATTACTCACGTTGTGTAGATGTTGTCGTACAAAGATTCGGGAGCCATCCATCTAAAAACAAAATTTGATCTATTTTTGTATTAAACAAAGTTTAAATTTTTTTTGCGAAATGAAAAAATACAGATAAAAATTTGTTAAGATTAAACTTGATACTTTTTTAAAATCAGTTAGATACACTGTGACAGATTTTACAGCTTTAATTACAACCTTTCTTTAAAAAAAACTTTTAAAATATTTGAAGATGGTCATGAGGAAATAGGAGAGTAGATAATTTATAAATAATAAGATCGATGTAACGTTTATGGTGGCTGTCAAATACAAAATATGCAGTTGTACCTTATTGGAAGACGACCTTCGGATTTACGTTCATAAATCTGGTTTATCATTACATCCCGACTAAATCCAAAATCAGAAACCTAAAAAAGTAGGAGTAAACATTTGGGAGTTCTGTTTTTAAAAAAATAGAGTTCAATGAAAATGAAGTTTTTCTTGTAAAAGTACGGGGTTTTTTTCAATCAAGAAGTTGAGTTTTATGAATTACAAAGCAGGGTTTGATGGAAGAGAAGAAATTTTGAAAAAATAAGTTTTCTGGAAAAATATAAAGTTTTATAAAAGAATATTAGTTTTATAAAAGAATATACTTTTTTAAAAAATAGATGGAGTTATATGAAAAAAAACGGACCTTGCAAATATTTTCGTCTGTGACCAATATATTCCTTGCAGCCAAATCCCGGTGTATGACCTACATTGTAATCATCGTTATTAATTACTATTACTGTTATTATTATTACCATTATTATTATTATTATAATTATCTTTATCATGATCACCTTCTTTGAAGAAAGATAATCCATCCCTCTGGCAACTTGAAAGCAGAATGCAGTTAGATCACGTGATGTGAGCTTCTGGCTGCCACCTTAATAATATAGTACAATTAATTTTTTTAAAAGAGATTTTTTTTGTCCCCAGGACATGATCGGGTTGTTACGATCAAATCTCGGAATTTTTTCTATTGCGAAAGTTTGGTGTTTTCTGGGTTTTTATATTGATCTACCAGGGGTTGTAATCTGGCAGCACATTCATCCATCCACGCTTCATTCCTTCTGAGAAGAGGGTTGACAAGATTCCAGCTGCCTAAGATTCTTCTTAGGCCTGAGAATATAGAGTGCAGGAATCCATCTGATATACTGGAATGAGGCCCGGGTGCCGTACTGATAGGAAACATCACACTCATTGCTTCCTAACATCTGTAAGCCCGGATTGGGTACCCCCAGGTACCTATAGCTGGCAACCATAGACTCTCCCTGCTTGTCCACCATTCCTCTCTTCATCGTCATTCACTTGGATCAATCCCTCTTGAAGCTTCTTTCTTGTTGAGCAGAAAGCACGCACCCTTTCGCTCCGAGAGTTGTTGACAGCCGCCCCTCTGTCCTCCTACATCCGTCAGGTGGTCATAACTGCTAAACCAGATGTCGGCTTCAGATGTTTTTGAAACCACAGGTTTGTGTGGAGTACAATTAATTGATTAGTTGATAGATTAATTTAATCAAATTAGAGGGACACCAAACAATTATCAGGATCCTCCATGCAAAGATGGCAATGCCCGATTTACACTGATACCATTAAAACATTTTCCGATCAAGTATAAATAAGATATCGTTTTTTTTAAACTGTTTACTTCAATTCGTGGGTTCTCTGCTAAATTGATTTGCGCATTTCTTTAGCATTAAACACTTTTCAAGTAAAATTAAGCTTATTGTCACTTTCAATTATATCTTTACATTGTTTCACTAACTTTAAGACAGGAATCATTAATAAACTTTTCTTATATTTTAGATTTTTAAATTAAATTGAATTGATTTTTATTTTTGACTTTTCACAGTTTCTTTAAGCATTTATTCTCTTTTAATGTAAGACGACATTTTACCGTGTAAATTTCCGTATCCGTGTTCCGCTCTGGACTTCCGTAAATAATCTTGAAGTTTTCCTTTAGCTACAAACTCCATCACAACAAACACAGGATCTGCAGTACATTTTGGTTTAGAACAACAAACAATGGATATGCAGTAAAATTAGTATAAGAAAAACAAACACATGATCTGCAGTACATTAAGAGTTACAACAACAAAAACATTATCTGCAGTACATTAAGGGTTAGAACAACAAACACATGATCTGCAGACGCAGTACATTAAAAGTTACAACAACAACAAATACAGGATCTGCAGTCATTAAGAATTAAAACAACAATTACTGAATATGCAGTAAATTAATGGTTAGAACACGAAACATATGATTTGCAGTACATTAAAAGTTACAACAGCAAAAACATGATCTGCAGTACATTAAGGGTTAAAATAACAAACACAGGATCTGCAGTACATCAAGAATTAAAACAGCAATTTCTAAATATTCAGTAAATTAAGGGTTAGAACAGCAAACACAGGATCTGCAGTACATTAAGAGTTAGAACAACAAACACAGGATCTGCAGTACATTAAGAATTAAGGCAATAGTTACTGAATATGCAGTACATTAAGGGATAAAAAACAAATAGGAAAAACTTTAAGGAATAGGACGTGTTCTGCAAAAAAACAGTTTGCAATTACATTAAAGTTTAATAAAACAAACAGTGTACAAATACAATAAACCCCTGTTACCTTTCTCTGTACAACATCCCAGTAGTTTAACAACATTAGGATGCGGATCTAATAGCTTCATTAAAGCCAACTCCTGGAGTAAATCCTTTCTCTCCTTCTCATTAGCAGACTCCTACAGTAGAAGTCGGGACAATAAGTGTACCAAGAGAAAATATTTAAAATCCCATGATTTTCAAAGGAATTGAGTTTTTCTAATCCCTAAATCTGTCCAACCCCTTGTCGTAGATACTTAATATTTCAAACTATGAATTCTGTTAGATCAAAGGGTCTAAGCTTGAAATTCCAAAGATATAGGCATAAGAAAATTTGACTTTGTGGCAAAAACTCAGCTCCTTTGCGATTCTTCCCTTTAATCCTTATGGATGTTACCTTTAATGTTTTGACGGCAACTGTCATACTTCCTTTGTTTCCTAGTATTCCAGTTCCTTCAGCTCTCCATACCTTTAAACATTATGCATTAAAATTTTAGACATTTTATATGTAAGAGATTGCAAACATTTTTCGTTTTTTTGATCAATTAATACATTTTTCGGATAAATTAATACTTTTTTGATCAATCATCTAATCTATTGATCAAACATTAATACATTAAAATTAATACATTTTTTGATTAATTAAAAATGTTTAATCAAATAGCACATTTTTAATGTATTCTAACATTTTTAAGAAATTATATACAATTTCTTTCTTGAACTTTAAGATTTGGAATCTTTAAAAAAAGCTTATGAAATATTGAAAAGAAATGAAATCACCTGTCCAAAACACCCCTCTCCTAAGATGCTGGATATCTTCAAATGATGCCTGAAATTTAATAAATTTTATTTTTTTCTTTTTTAAATTATTTTTTACGACGATTGTTTTTGCTACACAGAACAAAAAAAAAGAATTTCTCAGCAAATGGATAAAAATTCGTGTGCCAGATATTAATTTAGTATTATAATTGTTTCATATAATTCAAACAGTAAAAAAAATATTAAAAGTTTTGAGGAAGTTTCTATAAGAGATTACAAAGATAGAATCAAAATTTGATGAAACTTTGTTCTAGATATTTGCAGAAATACAATCAAAAATATATTTTCATCTTCACAATCGATGAAAATAAAGATATTTTATTCATTATTGGTTTCTCATAAATTATTTATTACTTAAAAGTTACTTTTAAAATTACAACCAACCAACCTGATCTTAGAATAATTTATTTTAGTACTTATACCTTGGTATCTCCCAGGGGTCTGTGCTGACCCATTCTTTGGTGTTAAGGATATCTCGTTCATAACTAAACATATTCAAAATATTTATAATTATCTGATAAACTGATTTAATTAATGTATAATAATCTGATAAACTGATTTAATTAATGCATAATTATCTGATAAACTGATTTAATTAATGTATAACTATCTGATAAACTGATTTAAAGGGAGTGTTCGCGAAAAATGAAAGGGGGTATAGGCTTAATGCGATAAAAAAGCGCTTTTGATCGCCACTAATCTTACTTCTATCTGTTGCGTCTGTAAGGAGAAAACTGTTAAAAACGACTTATACTGAAGAACGTAACGTCCATACAAATTGAGAAAGTTGCAACACATGACTCGGATCGTAAAAAAATCCATTTAATTTCAAACAAATCAATCAGATATTACAACCTACAGTCATCGATTATTTTTCGACGCATTTTTGTATAGTTAATATTTCATAATATTTTTTATTTGTTATGCACTTAAAACGCCGAAATAGTTGGCCGCCAGGTGTCTCTGTTCTCGATGGTTTGAATGATTTCACGTGGCAGAGACACCTAGCGGAAAAAAACGTCGTTTTAAATGCATTGCATATAAACAAATAACAAATATTATGAAACATTAACTATATTCAAATGCGTCGAAAAATAATCGATGTCGAAAGATTTTAATATTTCAATGATCTGTTTGATATTAAATTGATTTGTTTACGATCCGAGTTGAATGTTGCATCTTTCTGAATTTGTAAGGACACTACGTTCTTCGATATTAGTCGTTTTTAACAATTTTCTCCTTATAGACGCAACTGCTAGAAGTAAGATTAGTAGCGATCAAAAGCGCTTTTTTATCGCATTAAGCCTATACCCCCTTTCATTTTTCGCGAACACTCCCTTTAATTAATGTATAATTATCTGGTAAACTGATTTAATTAATGTATAATTAACCCTAATCTCTTTTTCACTTTATGAACTAACAAAAACAAAATCTTTAATGAAAGTAAAACATTTAGAATTAAAATGGACCCAGCAATGAATAAAAGAATAAATATTTAGCATAAATTAGTTACATTAATAATTAGAAAAGCCCTAAATGAAAAAGCAAAAATATACATTATAAAATAAACCATCAAAAAAATAAACAATACACCCAAATAAAAATTAACCCAGGACCAGATTTGTTGAATAACGATACCTAGTTAAACCTCGTAGACTAGGTTAAACCACTTAGTTAAAGCAAGTAGACTTGATTGAACGACGTAGTTAAACCTCGTAGACTAGGTTAAACCACTTAGTTAAAGCAAGTAGACTAGGTTGAACCACTTAGTTAAAGCAAGTAGACTTGATTGAACGACTTAGTTAAACAACGTAGACTAAGTTGAACCAATTAGTTAAACCACGTAGACTAGGTTGAATCACTTATTTAAACCGCGTCGACTAAGTTAAACCCCTTAGTTAAACCGTGTAGGCTTGGTTTAACCACTTATCAAACAACGTAGACAAGTTTAAACCAATTGCAGTTAAACCACTTAGACTAGGTTGAACCAATTAGTTAAACAACGTAGACTAGGTTGAATCACTTAGTTAAACCGCGTAGACTAAGTTAAACCACTTAAGTTAAACCGCGAAGACTAGGTTGAACCAATTAGTTAAACCACGTAGGCTAGGTTGAACCACTTAGTTAAACCCAGTAGACTAGGTTAAACCACTTGGTTAAACCAGGTAGACTAGGTTGAACCACTTAGTTAAACCCAGTAGACTAGGTTAAACCACTTAGTTAAACCGCGTAGACTAGGTTGAACCAATTTTCTGTCTCCGGCGCACAAGAGAAGTTGTTGAACTGTTAGTTAATACACTAACCTACCTAAGGGAACCTATAAAGCTAAACGGATGACAACCTACCTGTTGCTAACAGCTAGACTTGTTTTCCTTGAGCTGTGAAGATCTGTCATATTCGTCTCTGTTGACAGTGCTGACTGTATCTGTAAAGTAAAAACTAGGTATACCATAATAAAATGAAAAGATACAACTTTTATAACTTTTTTTGCTACTTTTTTATCAATACTCTGCATATTTCAGGGCTACTTATTTATCCAAAAAAATTAATATTTTTGTTATTTCGAAAAAAATATCACGCTTAACACAGAATGTTTAATAAATTCAAATATATTTTACAGCTCCGAAAAATACAGTTTAAAAAACACAAAAAATTTGTGACAATTTAATCCACTCAATAATTTTTAAGGCTACAATATAGATATTCTTTTATTGCATTTATATTTATGAGATATAATGTATCATTTCTTAAAGAAAACATTTTTAGGATTTAAAATGAATTACCTCTCTCTTTCCATCCTCTTTATTTTCTGCAGATTTGGCCAAACAAGAACATACTTTTGCAATCCTTCTTCGTAGAATATATATCCCTACAGCTAGGGTAGGTAGCACTAAACAGTAAACATTACATTTACAATATAAAATACAAATATACAGCTAGGGTAGGTAGCACTAAACAGTAAACATTACATTTACAATATACCATACAAATATACAGCTAGGGTAGGTAGCACTAAACAGTAAACATTACAATTACAATATACCATACAAATATACAGCTAGGGTAGGTAGCATTAAACAGTAAACATTACAATTACAATATACCATACAAATATACAGCTAGGGTAGGTAGCACTAAACAGTACATATATAATTTACCATACAAATACAGCTAGGATAGGTAGCAATAAACAATACAATTACAATATAGCATACAAATATAACAACTATACACCTACCTACCTAGGACTAAGAGAATGACTAAAATGCCTTAAACACCCACCTATGACTAAAGGAATGACTATAACAACAATAACGGTGGATTGACTGCTCTCTTCTGGTTTAACTGTCGTCTCAACAAGATCTTCTGTGCTGGTGGGGGGAGGGGGAGGTGTAGGTGTAGTGGGTGTGGTAGGACGAGGGGTGGGTCTAGAAAGAAGTATTCATAAAAAGTTAAAAAGGAATAAAATGTTGAGAAAAAGTAAATAATAAAATGTTAATAAAAAATTAAGAAATTACAAAATATTTCTAAAGATGAAAAATCTTTAGAATGAAAAGCGTTAAACATTGTTAAAACCTAATAACTAATTTTTTTTAAAAAAGCTTTTCTGTTTTGTTTTTGAAATCTTGAAGCATAAGTTCATTCCATTTAAAGAATAAAAAATAATTCTTCTGAATACTTACTTTTTAGTTGTTAGATCGTCGACACCAAAATCTGGATTTGATGGAAATTCAACATTAATATGAACTTCATTGGTAATAGTTATCGACCCGTCCACATACATCTGCAATAAAATGTCTTAAATTATTTGTTATTTGCTATATTGCCCGGCATTTTAATTAGAAAATATATTTTGGATTTTTTAGCAAATGTAACCCACAGGGTTGCACCTTAAACATTTCAGCCCATTTATATAGATTTTTAAAAATATTTATTCTTTAAAATTTTTAAAACCTCACTTTTATTTTTGTTTACAATGATTTGACGCAAGTTTACGTTATACTCTGGTTTACCTTGACTATAGTTTACCTTGACTGTAATTTACCTTGACTTTAGTTTACCTTAACTGTAGTTTACTTTGAATATAGTTTACGTTATACTCTGGTTTACTTTGACTTTAGTTTACCTTGACTGTAGTTTACCTTGACTGTAGTTTACCTTGACTTTAGTCTACCTTGACTGTAGTCTACCTTGACAGTAGTTTACCTTTTATGTAGTTACGTTGACTATAGTTTACCTTGACTATAGTTTACTTTGACTTTAGTTTACCTTGACTGTAGTTTACCTTTTCTGTAGTTTACTTTGACTGTAGTTTACCTTGACTTTAGTTTACCTTGACTGTAGTTTGCCTTGACTGTAGTTTACCTTGACTGTAGTTTACCTTAACTGTAGTTTGCCTTGAATGTAGTTTGCCTTGACTGTAGTATTCTTTGACTGTAGTTTACCTTGACTATAGTATTCCTTGACTGTAGTTTACCTTGACTGTAGTTTACCTTGACTGTAGTTTACATTGACTCTAGTTTACTTTGACTGTAGTTAAACCTTGACTGTAGTTAAACCTTGACTATAGTATTCCTTTACTGTAGTTTACCTTGACTGAAATAAGCATTTGATCTCCAATCTTGAAGTTCTGGAAGAGAGGTTTGGAAAGTAAAACTTCAAATATTTTAGTATTGTTCCTTTTGCTTACGAGTTCACGTACTGAGAAGAACTCAGCAGCATCAAGTAAGGTTTTTACCTAAACAGAAAAACATAAGTAAAGGGACTGTTTTCTTCATTTTAATTAACCCTTCATTTAAAGACGGATATGCGGTATGCCCTATTTACGACTGTACCCCTGAAACATAATTGAAAAGGATTACGTCATTTTTATATATGAAAATTAGTTAATTCTGATAATTTCTTGATAGTTTCTGAAACAAGAAATGCGCTAGTCACTTTTGAAGAGAAACCACAATTTGTTAAATCTGAAATTTGTTGGTAACAACTATCTATCTATCATAACCTAGCCTAGCCTGGAATGATACAATCACGATAGNAAAATGTCCGTTCTAATACTGAACCCAATGAAAATAGATGTGGTCAATTTAAAATCGGATTCGAATTTATCATTTAACGCCTATCATTCTTAGCAAACTCTCCCTTTAAAAAAATGTTTTTAAAACATAGTTAACCTTGTACGGTGATGGTTGTATGGTTATATTTAAATCCTGATTTTTATCATTAAGTTCGAAGACTAAGATCCGTCCTGCAGGAAACCCAACCTAGAATAGTTATTAATTAACAAAATCCAGGTTGGAGACACAACTTATTTCTAAAGATCATTTATAAAAATATCAATTTTAAGTTTAAACCTGGTGATATTTTTATTTGAAAAATTAAACCTGCAGGTCATAATTCTATTTGAAAAGTTTAACATGAGGCCGGAGCTTTTGTGTGAAATATTGTTAATCTTGAATACTTGATCTCAATATTCAATGTGGGTAGTTTTACATTTCAGAAACAATGCTTGATCCCTCAATTAAAGTTATCTCTGCAGGGTGTGAGAACTACGGGAAATTGATCTCGATATTGTATTCACAACACTAAAGTTCTAACTTCTGGTGATATTTCTTTCTATTAAAAGTTCTAAACCTGGGAATCAATTTTATTTGAAAATTAAACCTGTTGAAACTTGCTCTTCGTTAATCTCGTTTAGAAACATTTTTTGTAAAATATATGAAGATTATGTTACCGGACGATCTATAGGTAAATCCCATCTGTTTGGTTCAACCCTCATAGAAGGTGGACTGTCCAGGAATCCTTCACACAAACCTGAAAAATATTCAATTTAATTTATTTGGAAATTATTGACCCTCTGTCTGAACAGCTATTGAGAAGAATATAAAATATTTTTCTGTTGTTATTTTATTTTAAGTAAAGGAATTGAGTTTTTGCCACAAACTCTAATTTTCTAATCCTTTACAATCCATTCTCGTAAACCTTAGATATTTCAAACTATGAACTTTGAAATATATAGGGTTTAAACCATTCTGTTCTATAGGGATTCTAAAATTTGAGTCTGTGGACAAAACTCAATTTCTTTATAACTTTTGAGCTTATTTGTGAATTAACATGTATTAAAACAAACAGAATGATATTATCAAAATGTACAGAAAAAGTATAGTAAACGTATAAAAGTTTACCTAGCTGGTAGAAAATGCTGACTAGAAGAAACAACATGTTTATTTAATTTTAAAATATCAAAATCTTTAAGTTTTTTCACCATATGCATTTAGGGACTAGGGAGGGTTCACTTGTTTAAACCCACTCATTTCACTGGAGTTTATTTACGGGAATTCTGAGAGAAAGGTCGAGTTGAAATCTCTAATTCTCTACCTGCCTGACTGCCTGACTACCTGACTGCCTGACTGCCTTACTGGTCTGCCAAGTTCAGTGCTTCTGTTTAAACCATAAAAGGGGGTAGTGCATTATATATATTCCTTTGTTGAAATATAAACTAATTAATGTAATTTTAGTTGTTTAATTCAAAATTAAAAGGGGGCATCAACCCCCCTTGCCCCCCCCCCCACCCTAAGAAAAATAAAGCACTGGAAAGGTCCTGTTCTAAGGTCTCTATGTTTGTATCATCATATTTAACAGGATATACACTTATTGCACAAAGAGACTCCCCCCAGATCCCCTCTCTCTACTAGTCCTTACCCTCCCCCCGTCATGTTCCCCCCCCCCCTTCATGTTACTACTTGATATCCCCCTAGTCACAGAAATTCTTTCTTTTTTCTCCGTACATCCTTGCTATTCAACCATAAACAACAATTCATCAGAAATATTTTAAATTTTCTGTTTCCTTGTTACAACATTTAAGCAATATTGCATGTGTAGATATGTACATTGTACAATTTATATGATACACATATATGTACGCAACACAAAAATGTTGAATTAACCCTTATTTATCTATTTCAACATTATATTTATATATATATATAGATAAATATAATGTTTAATTTCAATGTTCAGTGTTCACGTTAATTTGTTGCTGAACGTTGCTGTTTCAGATCCGGTTTAAAGGGAGTGACCGGCTATGTAAGGTAGTTGAACTGAGTATGCAGTGTTGTGGAAAACTTCTTTCGGATTCATTTGAGACATATAAAACCTTTTAAAGATCTGTAAATCCTGAGTTTGAGCGCAAATTCGATGTTCAAAACTCCGACTTTGGGGGTGGATACGTTTTCAAAATTAGTTTTTTAAATTATTAAATGACTCAGTTCAACTACCTTACATAGCCGGTCACTCCCTTTAAGCTTTTTTTCTGTAACCAATACCAAACCACTCCGCAAATATCTGAAGAATATATTTGGAAAAACATGAAATAAAACTGTTTCATCTCGTGTCAATGCCGGTGGAAAAAAATAGATACAAAATGTGAAATCGTAAAGTTTGAAATTCTTTATTTCCTTATTTATCGTTTGTCAGAGTAAGATACGGATATATACATTCATGTGAAATCCCAATAATTGGGATTTACCGGGCGTTCGTTTTAATCTCTTTCTCTAAATTATGGATTAAATACATACATTTTTATTAAAGAAATTGTCCATAAACTTAAGAAATTCAATAGGAATTCCAGGTTAATTAAATGTAAAAGATATTAGCATGCATTTTATATACAGTGATAACCAGAAAACTGTGGAATAGGAAGACGACATTAAAAGCAATATTTAAGTTCATTAGATGGTATTACAAAGCACATAGTTTTATTTGTAACTTATTAAGTCACTTATTAAAGTGAAATTGGTCTGTTTACACTGCACAATTGTTGTTTTTAATGTTCACTTGTCTATTTAAAGTCATAACTTAAGTTTAAAAGTCCACTTTCTATTCCAGAGTTTTTTGGTTATCCCTGTATTAAACAGCCAATTTACAATATCTTTGTTTATATAAAATATATATTATGTTATACACAATAAATTCATATCAAATTAAAATGATATTCATTTTACGTGAAATAGATGATTTTACTACTTTTCTCGTAGAGCTAATTAATATTTACTAGTTTTCTCATAGAGCTAATTAATATTTACTAGTTTTCTCATAGAGCTAATTAATATTTATTAGTTTTCTCATAGAGCTAATTAAGATTCACTCTTTTTTACTTTGATTATTTAACTAATAAATTTACTTCTCTGCTTTTGCATACATGGCTCAAAGATAGAGAAGCTGCGAGGTCGCAAAAGCCGAAATTTTGACCACAGCGTTGACTTATATTTTTTTACTTTCATTAAAAAAATCAATTTAAATGCTACGTACTGAAAGTAGTCCAATAGGTTAAAGAGGTTAACCAATAAAAGTCTCTTTGAAGATCTATCTATCTATCTATTTTGAAGTATCTATCTATCTATCAGTTAATTTTATTACCTAATCTATCTACCTGGTTCCGTGCTAGTTAGGTTGCCCTGGAAGGGTAAATATATTCTTTAAAACCATTTTCTCCCAATCACGTTAAAAACAATTTTCAAAATATCTTGAATTTTTTTTTAGATACAAAATTTTGTGAAGAGTAAATTCTGATATTCGAACCGAACCGTTCCTAGTTGCAGTGTTTACAGTGTATAGTACCGGAATTCTTTATAAAGTTGTATATGACTCATTTTCTATGAATCTGAAAACCATTCAAGCCTTAAAATATTTACGTGAGTAAACAGTACATATAGCTTTAAATTGCGCCTATAAACTCGTTTAACAAACTAAGAGTTTATCAGGAGATATATCAAAGTGAAAAGCTAAATAATATTGATGTTTAAAAACATAGCATGGAGTTTCTTTTGTGAACAGCTTCTTAAAGTTCAAACAAACCTGGAAATCCTAAAGAATTTAAGAAATATTTATATAAAGACATATTATAAAGTCCAATAATATTATCCATTTCAAAAATGTGTTCTTTTGTAATTTAACTGTTTTTGAGATTTTTAAAGGTGTGTCACTTTTACCTGTCGGCTATTTTACGCCCACTTGCGTAAACCAGGGTGCGTCATGAAACCGTCATGCGTCAGATTTTTTTGTTTTGTTTCATTCAGTATTCATTGATCATTAACATGGATAGCATAATAATGATATAAATAAAACATAAACTGGTTTTAAATCTAACGATTTAAAAAAATAAAAACCGTTGTTTCTGCATATCTTCTTTGCCGGAATTCCTAACTTCAAGTCATATTATTCTAACCGTTAAATTTCTTTTGTTTCAGCATAAAAAGTGAACAAAGATCATATGGAGATGACACTTAAAGAGTAACAAAGTGAAATATCAAGAAGTGAAAAATGGAAAAGTGAGAAGAAACCCTAAAGAAAAGTGAATAAAACATGAATTAAGAAAAGTGGTGAACCGTGACATAAAAAGTATTAAGTGGTAGGTTTTATCTTTTTACCACATGCTCAAGGAGGGGTCCGTTCTAGAAAACGATTTTTGGACGATATTTGGGAACCGGGGGGTGCGGGAGCCACAATGGCGGTCTGGTGATGTGAGGGGTTTTCAGATCTAACCCTTATCATATCTTATCTTCCAGATTGTTACTCAGCCAGGGGTTGACAGGATACAGTTGTAAATCGGTCATGGTTCTGACATATTTAATTGAAGGGTTACTTGATTTTCTGAGTGCTAAAGCTTTGAATACAAAAAAGTAAATTTACTGTTGCCAGTAAAGATCGCATTAATTAAAATTTGGGAATCAAAAAATCTAAAAGTTTGAAGTTAAATGGTGTTCTCTAGCCCAGCCCGGGAGGGTAGGGGATGGGGGCTTTAGCGTCATTGTGTGATTTGTAAATTCGTTTTATTATTTTAAACAAAAATTTCCCCTTAAGCTACCCTTCTCCATCTTCCTACCTCTAGAACCCATCACAGTTCTAAGTTACAAGTTCAGTTTACCAAGCATCTATCTACCTATCATGAAGTACATGTTTGCTGCGAAGAACTACCAGAACCCTACCCATCTCCACGGACTTCCAAAGTTGGATATCCGGCACGTTAGCTCAGCAAAGTGGAATGGTTTATGCTCGCGCGGGCATTCACTTGGTCATAAGCCCCCGAGTGGTTTTGCAGCTGAAAAACGCAACCACTAACTCGTTTTTTACCAATCTGCATGTCTTTGTTTCATATCCCCACCAGATCCTGCTCTCCTGTTCTCTCGGTATCTCAGGTCTTCTATAGATCTATAATACATACCATGGTGATTAGGTCGTTAACTAATCTCCTCTTCTCTCTGTATCTCATATCTTTTACAAATCTATAACATACCAGTGATTAGGTTGTTAACTAATATCCTGTTCTCTCTGTATCTCATATCTTCTATAAATCTATTATACACCCGGGATTAGGTCGTTAACTAATCTTCTGTTCTCTCTGTATCTCAGGTCTTCTACAAATCTATAACACGCCAGGGATTAGGTCGTAAACTAATTTCCTGTTCTCTCTGTATCTCAGGTCTTCTACAAATCTATAACACGCCAGGGATTAGGTCGTAAACTAATTTCCTGTTCTCTCTGTATCTCAGGTATTCTACAAATGTATAATACATACCAGGGATTAGGTCGTTAACTAATCTCCTGTTATCTCTGTATCTCAGATCTTCTACAAATCTGTAATACATACCAGGGATTAGGTCGTTAACTAATCTCCTGTTCTCTCTGTATCTCAGATCTTCTATAAATCTATTACATACCAGGGATTAGGTCTTTAACTAATCTCCTGTTCTCTCTGTATGCATGGAATGGTTCGAAACTATAAGAGAACATGCACAATTTCTGTTCTGTAATAAGCAATGTTTTTGAACCGGTCATGACCAACTACTTCTACAACTATTAACTGGCTGCATAATTGTGTATGCGGTATCTTGCCCCCTCCCTCCTTCAAAAACCTAATTTTAAACCCAACATTTAAAAATATACTCAGTTGATATAGAGACTCAGCTTTGATTACTGCGAGAAAGTAATTTGGTTCTCGTTGAAACATACGAGCTGTGATCGTGCCCATTGGTCTGGCATTGATCGATTAAGTGCTTGTGTCCGTGAAGTCATTGATAGCTGATAGTGTCCATTGTTTGACATTGATCAATTAAGTGTTTGTGTCTGTGCTGACATTAATAGCTGATTGTGCCATTGGTTTGGCATTGATCAATTAAGAGCTCGTGTGCTGGTTGACATTGATAGCCAAGGTAGTGTCCTTGCTGACATGGATAGCTGACGAGATTGCATCCGGGTTTAGCCATTGATAGTTAAGTGAAACTGAATTGTACCTGGACAGATACAGGTTCAAGAAACCTTTATGGAGTAGGGCATTTATTACAATTAAATATATTTAGGGACTTATGGTAACATAATAATACAATGTTTAGGGACTGAGCAACATAATTATACATATTGAGGGAGTCAGGAACATAATCATGCATATTTAGGGACTCAGGAACATAATCATGCATATTAATGGACTCAGGAGCATTATCATGCATATTGAGGGACTCAGAAACATAATTACATATATTTAGGAAAATAACTATATATATATTTAGAGACTCAGAAACATAATAATGGATGAATTAAACTCTCCCCTGGATATAAAGCTCAAGGATTTGGAGGGATTGGAACTAGAGGACTTTGAAGAGGTTTGTTATTTTATTTATGATTGTACATTGCAGTACAGTTCAGTACAGTTATTATATGCATACTTCAGTACAGTTCATATACATTTGAAGATCAGCTCGTGTACATTCTGCGGTTACAGTTTATGTACATGCTGCAGACTCAGTCATGTAAATTCTGCTGTACAGTTAATCTACAAACTGCAGTACAGTTCATGTACTTGCAGGAAATACAGTCAATTTAATGCTGCAGTACAGTTCATGTACATACTGCAGTAGAGTTCATATACATTTTGCAGTACATTTCATGTACATATTATAGTAAAGTTCATATACATTCTGCAGTACAGTTCATATACATTCTGGATGTACATACTGCAGTACAGTTCATATACATTCTGCAGAAAAGTTCATGTGCATTCTGGAGTTAAGTTCATGTATACATTCTGGAGTACAATTCTTGTACATTTTTCAGTACAGTTGATGTACATACTGCAGTACAGTTCATATGCATTTTGCAGTACAGTTCATGTACATACTGCAGTGCAGTTCATATACATTCTGCCTAAAGTTCATGTGCATTCTGGAGTAGAGTTCATGTATACATTCTGGAGTACAATTTATGTACATTTTTCAGTACAGTTTATGTACATACTGTAGTACAGTTCATATGCTTTTTGCAGTACAGTTCATGTACATACTGTAGTATAGTTTATATACCTTCTGCAGTACAGTTCATGTACATACTGCTGCACAGTTCATATACATTATGCATTACAGTTCTACATAATGCAGTACAGTTCATATACATTCTGCAGTAAGTTCATGTACATGCTTCAAATGTGAAAATAATTCCTACTGAAAAATCAAAAATGAATTATGATTTTTTTTCTTTAGATTTCTGTAGAAGGAGAGGAAGCGGGTAGGCTTGCCATGAGAACAATAACATTAGCTATCCTTCTTTTAGGATCTATTCTTCTAGTCACTGTAGTCTTTAGGTATTATTATTATTATTATCATTAATAGTATTGTTTGCATTAGCATTACTAATAACATTACCATTTCAAAAATTAGAACCAAATGTTATCTTTTGGTATTAAATAATATTGTTTAAGCAGTCGAAGTCAGCAGACCCTATCTGGTTGAATACATCAAAAGTATAATATAAAAACATTTAAAAATTTTTCATGACCTAAACTGAGAGATTTTTGAATAAAACCCGGTTTTTCAAGTTGTTAGTGAAACCAAGAGTAATCATTTTGATGTATTATGATAAAATAATGAATTATGTTTGTAATGTTTATTACAACAGAGTGTATTGCAGATAAATACGTGAAAATCTATGAGAGTTTTGCATAAACTACTTTAAAACTGACGCTGAAAATAAGCGCTTTAGGCTTGAAACTAGTCATTTCCAGGGCTACAAAAAACTATTTATGGATTGATATGATCGAAGGCCTGGCAACACTTTTATTGTATATCTGAGAATAAAATTGTACTTTAGAGACACATTTAAATTATGCACAATATTTGAACTTTAAGCTCAACTGCAGAAATATTGCACATTGAAGTTGCAGTGAACAAGGATCTTTTATAGTTTATCTGAGAACAAAATTGTACTTTAGAGAAACATTGAAATTAAGCACAATCTTTGAACTTTAAGCTCAACTGCAGAAATATTGCACATTGAAGTTGCACACACTGCTTTTTTGTTGCAAACCACGTGAAAAATGTTTACAAAAATGATTTTCAATTTTCAACGCAAGTAAACCAATGAAAAAATCATACACAGGTTTAGAAATATTCTTGGTTTACCATTTATGGTTGGAGTCACGGAGTGCTATATATCTCAAATAGATATTTAAAATTTTTGTTTTAAAAATGTTCTTCGATTTAAAAACCACAAGAGTGGGAAAACAATCAGAACGTTTTAAATTAGATCTCATTTTTTCAATCACCTGAATAAAACGTTCATATTTGGATTCAGCTTTTTCTAAGATTTAGAAAAATGTCAACATGTTAAACAATGTGCGTATATTTCCGCACTAATGTACAAATGTGTACAGTTCAGCGCACTTTACCATGGGCATAAACTTCAAACTCCGAAAATAAAAAACGTCATATTTAAAAATATGTTATATACATATATGTATCTAGCTGTTTATAAAGTAAAGAATTATCACACTACAATATGTAATAATATGATTCTTGTTATATTTATATCCGTCTTTTCTTGAAAACTATCTGAATCTCGGTATCAAATTATTCATGTCGCTCTATGTAAGTCCCGTTAAACGAAGGTAAATTGAACTAATATATGCTTTCCATCATAGCTTCTCTTATTGTTAAACTATTAAGAAAAACAAAAGTGTTTTGAATTTCTGATATGTAATCAGAGCTGAAAACTTCGATATCCTTAATTGGATATCCTTAATCCCGATCGGTTAATTAATCTTGAGATTAATAATAAGAGGAGAACAAGCAATATTTAATCTGGAGATTAAGAAAAAAAAGGAGATCAAGCATTGATCTCAATATCCACAATTCTAAAGTTTTAAGCTCAGATAAGTTTGTTTTCCTTATACTTGTGTATATAACAATCAAAATCCGAGGAGTTACGATTTTACAAAGTTGGATCAGAAATGTCGCAAAAATTCTACCTACTCCGTCTGTAAAGGAAAAATGAGTCTTTGCCTCAAAATCAAACTTTATAATTCCTTTATCTTTGCAACCTAATGGTGTAAACCTGATATTTCAAACTTAGGTTATTTGATCTTTCAGTTTTCATAGTTTGAAATATCAAAGGTCTACGACTTTTGGTTGCAAAGATATAGGAATTAGAAAACCAGAGTTTGTGGTTAAAACTCAGTTTCTTTAAATGTTCTTGTTTTCGGATAAAGTAGAAAAAAATAAAAAAATGTTTATTTTTGTGATTAATTTAAAACAAGTGGAACTGTGAACATATGTTAAATATTATTAATAAATAAGCTTTGTTGTCATTAAATTAATCAATTTAAGGATCAAATATTGAAATTAATGATGCGTATCTTTGATCACATGATCTCTAGGAGAGCATCAATTTTGTTAAGCTGTAGAATTTTATTGGTGACAGGGTGTCCCTTCATTCCCTGAAAACAAAATTTATTTTAATTTTTCATTATTTTTGATTATTTTTCTAACTTACTTTTATCTTTTAAGTGTAAATTTTATATGAGAGAAATTATACATGAGATTTGAAAAAATTGATTTTTTGGTTTTATATTTTTTCGATAAAACTCCAATTGATTTAAATAAACATTTTCCGACTCTTAAAAGTTACGAGTGGTATGAAATTATTAGTTCCTATTCTAATATTATTTATCATACGTATAGTATAATTGTTATCATTACCCTGATAAACTCTGCCTTCTCAAGCTTCTCGTTCTTGTCTGAGTCCCCCAGGTTGTACATCTCAGCCATGGTAGTCGCCAAATCAACCTAGGCAACAGACAAATCAACAGACATAGAAGTATTAAAAAGAACTAAAACTTGGCTAACAAATAACCCTCCTATTTTCGACAGCATGGAAATGGTACGAAGGGCATCAGAAATAATTTATAGGCCATGTAAGCTTTTCCAAATTGTATAAATGATAAATGATAAATGAAAAAAGATTTAAAATTAGAGTTTGTAGTATGTTATCAATTCCCTTGCCACTGACATCTGGACAACTCTAAAACTAGGACATACTATTTTGGACAGACTTAATATATTTCTCAAATTCATTAACCATTGAATAATGTATTGAAATGTTACATTTTAAACAATTTAAACGTAGCTTATATTTTTTCTTGTAGCCCCAGACATATACATTTCAAGTATGTAACGACCGCTTTCTCTAGTTTAAGTTTAAAAAGAGTAATTGGCAAAATACTTCTCGATTTTTACTTAAAAACGTGAACATCTTAGTTTGCAGTGTTGCCTGACCTTATGATTTTTCCCCTCCCCGATCTCGATGAAGAATGCCATGAGGTTGAGAAGCTCGTCCACGGAGATGTTTCCGTTTCCGTCCTGGTCAAACAGGTTGAAAATCTACAAGAAAAAAAAACTTAGAATAAAATTGAAAAATTATGAAAATAGTTTTGTATTGCTGAGAGGTAGAGACCGGCTAGACACGGTAGGGGAGCAGAAAGTATTGAAGAGAAAACTTTAGGATTCATTTGATACAATTGAGTTATTTTTTACGGTGTAAAATTTGTAAATTATTTATTACTCCCACCCCTCCTTGTCTTCCAGTACTGATGACATAAAAATAAAAGTAAATATCATGTTATCAAGCAAAATAAGCTCAACTACCATGTCTAGCCGATCTCTCCCTTTAAACCCTTATAAGAGGTTGATTTAAAAGTGATGATCAATAAAAACAGAATCGTTGTCGTCTTAGATTTTTCTTTAGAAGATTACAATAGTCATTGGTCAATGGTCATACATTAAGTAATTGTTGTAGAAAAGTGATTTTAAGCAATAAAAGTTTCAGGGCTTAAATTCTCTTTAAAAGTCGGATTTTATTTTAATAAAAAATTGAATGACGAAAGTTGAAACAAACGAACCAAGCCTTAATTCTTTTAAAAAATGTTTGGTTAAGAGTAGAAATGTTAAAACATGTTGTAAAGCCTTTTAAAACGAAAAAACTTAATTGTAAAAACTATTTTTTATTTGCCAAACACTATTCATAAACAGAAACAGCCTGATTGGTGATAATAAATTTTTTTTTAAAATAATGCCTTCATTAATATTAATTATCGAATATAAAGTTATTAAATATATATAAAAACCTGTCCAAGTTTAGCGTCTATTGAACCCTCAGAAAACAGATAGATTAGCATCAACAAACTCACAACATCTAAAATTCATTATTTTCAACAGAAAAAAAAATATTGTAATCAGAATAAAAGTATTTATTCTATACTAAATGATGTTAATAATAAAAATAATATTTTACAAAAAAATATGTTTATAAAATTATAATTATTATAATCATGATGAAATCAAAGGAGTGAGTCTTTGCCACACACTCTGATTTTCTATTCCCTAAACACTTTGCAAACCAAAGCCGTAGAGCTCAGATATGTCAAACTATGAATTCTGTTAAATCAAATAATCTAAGTTTGAAATATCATAGGGTACCACCACCAAGTTGCGAAGATATAGTGATAAGAAAATCTGAGTTTGTACAAAAGACTGAATTCCTTTTAAAATAGAAAAATACCAATTTTTCCATTTTTGTTTGTGATCTCTGCAGCCAGCTTTTCTAATTTATCCTGGGGCCTCTCAGGAAATGCAGTTCTGTAAAATTTAATCATTTAACAGAAATATTTAATTCAATTCTAAAGCAATGAATGAACAAAGTAAACAAAAGGAAAAATTACGAAAAGAATGAATTTATTTTTTAGGAATAAAAGAATAAATAAGTAAATGATAAATAAATTAAATAAATAAATAAATTAACCAATTAATTAATTGACTATTTGATTGAAAAATGAGTTTATGAATAAATAAATCAATTAGTGATTGAAGAGAAAAACAAAGATTAGTAAATAAACGAATGAAAGAAAAAATAAATAAATTACTGAAATTAACGAATAAATGAAATAAAGAAATGAATGTATATATGAAGAAGAAAAAATATAAATGAACAAATGAATGAATTAAATAAATAAATGATTATGTTAAGAAGAAAAAATAAAAATGAACAAATGAATGAATACTTGAAAATGTGTTGAAAATCTGCGGGCTCCATTTTTCCGTCCGAGCATTCTGTTGAGATCTTCCTATAATACTCTTCCACAATCTTAAATGAAAATATTGAAAAAATATCAATTATTTTATTCAAAAAATGTTTTTCCTTACATCATTGGTGAGAAAAGCCGTATTTTTAGCAATATAGCCAAAATCCTTAGCACTCATTCTTTTCCTTGTCTGTGTGTTTCCCATTGTGAATCTAAAATTTTCAATTCTTATTTTTAACCTTTATATTTGAAGATTTAGATAAGAATTAATAGGATCGCCTGAAAAAGCAGGTTTAAAGAAATTTTACGAAAATTAGTTATTTTTCAACAAGGAAAAGATGAGAAATTTTTTTTTAAATAAATCCCCATTCAAGGAAACTTTCTTTCAAGTTTGAATAAAAAGATCTACATTTACGGCCAATTAAATTTTTCTAAATTCTTCTTATTTTGATTATATCAGAAATAAAATGTTTAAATTGAAGTTAGTAAATAGCGAAGTCCTATTTAATTAATTTCTTGTTACTTGACCAGCCTGTAGCTTGGCTAGCCTGCATATGTATTGTGTAGGTCAGCTTGTAGCAGGAAACTAGTGCTCCTGGGGCTCTTGTCCTTTATTTTTATACCCTTAGGGTCCTCTACATTCAGGAATAAATTTACGAAATAATTTTTTATCCCCGCTTCTAAATATTTAAGAATATCTTCCTTTTTCAGATTGTTGAAATAATTTTCCTGACTGGAATATATTTATCCCTGTTATTGTCCAAATATACACTTTAAATGGCAGGGAGCTCTGAGCCTGGCAAGGCAACCCAGCTCCTCAGATTTAAAGATTACCCGGGGAACTTGTCATTTTTTAACTTTTTCCCCTGATCTCTGTTCTTTTTTATTACTCATGTATGCATGAATATACAATCCCCCCCCCCCCCCCCCCCCTTAGTTTTAGTTTGTTCACTCAATCATCTTATTACTAAATAAGTTCATATTTGGCTCCTGAGCTCAAATTTTCCCTCTTGAGTTCATATTTTTCTTCCAGAGTTCATATTTATCCTCCTGAGTTCATATTTTTCCTCCTGAGTTCATATTTTCTCTTCTGAGTTCATATCTTTCCTCCAGAGATAATATTTATCCTTCTGAGTTTATATTTTTCCTCCAGAGTTAATATTTTCCCTCCTGAGTTCATATTTTGCCTCCAGAGTTCATATTTTTCCTCCAGAGTTCAAACATTCCCTCCAGAGTTCATATTTTTCCTCTAGAATTAAAATTTTTCCTCCAGAGTTCATATTTTCGCTCCTGAGTTTTTATTTTCCCTCCAGAGTTCATATTTTCCCTCCAGAGTTCATATTTTCCCTCCTGAGTTTCTATTTTCCCTCCAGAGTTAGTATTTTTCCTCCAGAGCTCATATTTTCCCCTCCCAAGTTCATATTATTCCTCCAGAGTTCATATTTTCTCTCTAGAGTTCATATTTTCTCTCTAGAGTTAATATTTTTCCCGCCTCATAGCTGATGAATCTCATTAATGAAACCCTGAACTGTTCAACGTACACATTTTCGAGGTTTTCACGAGGTTTAATTATTTGGTTTTTAATGTTTTGGTATTTTTGCAAAGCATTAAAGCATTTTCGTAAACTGAAACGTGCGTGGAAATAATTGTCCTTCTCACTTTTAAATAAAATACCCCCCCACCACCATCTCTAGTTTGCAGCATACATACTTCTTGAATTAGAGAGCATCGCTTGACAGTAAATATTCTGACATTTACACATTTTCCATTTTTCCATTTGAGAATATTTTCTTGGCATTTCAACCCTTATCATCTCTGTACAACCCTCTCTGTGCAATTTGAAATTTACTAGTTACGAGTTTAAAGGGAAAGTGTGCTTAAACTTTAAAACTCTCTATATCAAAGAGCAAATTTAAATTTTATTTTGAATTTGATCTTTTTAAAACTTCATATAGTGATAACCAGAAAACAATAGAATAGAAAGACGACATTATAGCAATTCTTAAGCGTTTTAATATTGTTACAAAGCAAATAGTTTTACTAGTAACTTAGCAAAGCACTATTTAAGTGAAATAGGTCTATTTACAATGTACAACTGCTATGTCTAATGTTCATTGAACTTTTTTAAGTCCTAACTTGAGTTTAAAAATCGTCTTCCTATTTCAGAGTTTTCTGGTTATCACTGTATAAAACTTGTTAAGCTACAAAATGTAAAGAAAATTCTAGATTTTAATGTAGATTTCATGTATATATTTTTTTGATTTCCTGGTCAGCCAACAGTGGTAGATTTATGGTGATTTTTCAAAACTTAGATTTGTCTGAAGATACAGGAATCAAATCTTCTCCCATCCCTAGTCCTGAATGCAGTTATAAGGAGAATGCATGTTATCAGGGTTGAATGCTCTGAGCAGAAAGTTCGCAGAAAACTAATCAGAGGAATGGAGGGTTTGCCAAAAAACTCAAATTTTAAATAATCCCTATATCTTTGCAACCTAATGGGGTAAGAATTTGATATTTCAAACTTAGGTATATGAAAACCGAATTCATAGTTTGAAATATTTAAGGCCTGTAAAATTGGGTTGAAAAGAAATAGGGGTTAGAAAATAAAAATTTGTAGCAAAGACTTTGTTCCTTTCATGCAAAAAAAGACCAAACAAATTTCTGTCGGAGATTTAATTCGGAAACTTTGAAGTTTGAAACAGTTTTTAACAAGATCTGTTTGTCCAATATGTCAACATTTTATTTAGACATTTGTCAAAACTTTGTCAGAGAGTAAAAAATTTGTTTAAAACTGTTATTTGATGAAAACTGACAGTTCGTGAGAATTTTTTCTTGTTTTAAACTTAAAGGGACTGTCAAAGTATTTACAAGTGACCCTTCATTTGCAGAGTTACAATACTAATAGTTGTTAAATAATTCAAAAATGCTCATACAGTGATAACTGGAAATCAATGGAATGGAATGCCGACATTATAGAACTACTGTAGTGTATTTGATGCTGTTATCAAAGCAAATATTTTTACTAATTTAGTGAAATTTGCCTTTTTACAAAATTATTGTATCTTATGCTCATTAGACTTTTTAAAGCTATAACCCAATTCTAAAAGTCGTCTTCATGTTTCAAAGTTTGATGGTTATTACTGCATATATTATATATTATATAGCTGGCCAAGCTGCTGGACCAAATTGTCTGACATATCTTTAGAGAACCCGTGGCTGAAGGCTAACTTTTTATTTTTTTTATTTTTGAAATTCCACGGACAAAATTAGATAAAATCATAATGTAATACCATGCGCGGGTATACGGCGGCCGTGAGTAACTTGAGGGTATATAATCCTGGGCAACGCCGGGAAATCTGCTTGTCAATAATAAATGTAAAACGATTATTTTTAATCTAAATTGACAAGGATCACATAAAAAAAATAATATCAATTAAATTTAGATTTTTTCACTTGTTTTTATGTCAATTTCCTTAGTATCAGATTTGATCAATAAACCTTTCAAACTAAAGCAAATTGCAGGGCATATTAAAATATTTTTGGGTTTCATTTAAAAAAATATTCAGAAGTACAAAATGTGGAAAATTTTTAAAATGTTAGCTTTTCTTATTCTTCTGCAAAAATAAGCAAAGAAGCTGCATGGCCCCAAAGTCCTGCCAGTAAAATGTTGCAAAAATTTGACCTTCTCTCTTTGTCTGTTCACAGTGGTTTTTTTTAATATCATCAACCAGTTGACCTACTTTAATTTTACTTAGGAAACTGTAAAAAACGTACTTTATTAACTGTAGTGAAGAAAAACAATATAAAATTCACTAACCCTCATATCTGTCAAACTTAGAATAAAAAAGTTTAATAATTTTTTTTCCAAAATTGACTTTTCATGATTTTAACTTTTGTGAAGTTGAGCAATTGACATTATTTATGAATAAACTGTTTATTTTCCATAAACAGTATACAGCCTAAAGCAGAGGCGAGAGCAAGCTTGGTTTCCTTTACATTTCCTTTTTAACCGAACCAAAAATCTCGAAGAAAAGTTTCAAAATTTTATATTGTATAACTTAAATGGACATTTAAAAAAGGGGGTTTTCTACAGCAATTAGTCCTTTAAAAAAAAGCCATCCTGGAAATTATTTATCTTGGAATGCAGAAAATCAAACAGGCCATATGAATTCTGGATAATTTTTGAAAATATTAATAAAGTTAATTTTCATGTATAACCTCGACTCTGAGCATAGGAAATTCATACGGTCTACCCTCCTGCATGCCTGTCTTAATCAAATAAATGTTTAAAGGGTACCGCTGTAAATTGTACATGCTTCTACAATGGGTTACTTGAAATTATATTTCTAGTTCCTTTAACGAAAAACTTCTTTTCATGGGATTTGTGTAAAGTCAATGATATAGCCTCTTCAAAAGATGTGCTCCTCCCTTCTGATAATAAAGTCTTTGCCGTAAAGTCTTATTTTCTGATTCATTCAATCCAATGTCGTTAACCGTAGATTTGAATAATTGATAAGTTTACAAAGATCAATGCAATGATTGAGCAATTAACCCTATCCCTGCTGGGGTACTTGAAAACCAGGATACGCGGGGGGGGGGGGGCAATTTGACCCCCCCCCCCTCTAAATCCCATGTTTTATGTCCAAATATGACAAATGATACATCATTAGAAAGCTCTTGTGCTCCACTTTTAGAATCTGCAAAAAAATTGCAAATTTGCGAAAATTGAATTTTTTATCGCAAAATCCAGTTTTATTGTAAAAATGTTTGCAAAAAAAAATTTGTCCAAAAAATGAAAAATTATAAATTTTTGAAAAGCCCTTGACCATGCCATTTCAAATATGCAAAAAATTTTGCAAAATTTTAAATAACCTGATTTTTAATCAAGAAAAACTAAAAATGTGCAAATTTCCTTTGACAGGTTGTTTGCAAAAAATTTGCAATTTTTTTCGCAAAACTTGTGCAATCCGTTGTCATAGGCTTTCCAAAAAGCTAAATTTTATCAAAATCTGACAAGTGAAAGTGGGTCAAAACAAAGATTTAGTTTGTTACAGGCAAAAGCAGTCATTCAGGCAGTGTGCCTGAGGACTCAGGCAGTTAGTATTAAAGCCCGGTTTTAGGCCTAAAGGGCGAGCTTTGGGTATGTAAGAAAAGTTAGAAAATTTCAACAGCCTCAGACCAACACTTTTTGAGTTATGTAAAAAAAACTACAGGGGGGGGGGTCAAATTGACCCCCCCCCCCAGCAGGAATAGGGTTAATGCAAAGTGAGTCAAAATTGTTTCCATACTGGAAAGGTCTTTATTCTTTACCACAAACTCTGATAATCTAGTTCTTTAATTTTAGCAATCCAATGTCGTAGAACTTAGACATGTCCACCTTTGAATTCTGTAAGATCGTATAATCTCAGTTTGAAATATGAAGGTTCACACTAGAAGGTGCAAATTGTTTGTGGCAAAATTTAATTTCTTTTGTTTTAAATTGCAGAAGATGAGGCTTGTTTTTATATCATTTCTTCTCCTGGTATCGTCTGCAGCTGGTTTCTCCAGAGATTCAAAGAATATCATTTCAGCATTCGCCAGGATTTAATATCTTTTAATAGACTCATATTTTGCTAACAAACTGCTTCGTCTGCAAAAACATTATTTGGTAGAAAAAAAGTATTCAACAGAATAGAATATTTTTAAAAAAATGCAAAATTAATTCTAAAATCTAGCAGAGGAAAAATTACACGAGTTAAAGCTTATTTTGATAGTAGACATTATCAGACAAAACCAAAAATCATTTACAAAGATGATTTCGAAATCGCCATTTAAAGGGACTGTAAAGGAAAAATGAAAGGGGGTATAGGTCGAAAGCTGAGGATCTCAGCTTTTAAACGATACCATTGAAGACATCTATCTGATGTTCCTGTCTCGAGAAATTGACATAAAACTGTGTCGAAATTATACCAAAACAGGAACATCAGATAGATGTCTTCTATGGTATCGTTTAAAAGCTGAGATCCTCAGCTTTCGACCTATACCCCCTTTCATTTTTCCTTTACAGTCCCTTTAATTCCCATAAATTCATAGAAAATCAACATTCAAACCTTAATATTTTTTCTGGTTGAGCTATTCATCAAAACTTTTTTTACAAGGATTTACATCAATTCTTCATATAATAAATAGTTGTTTTTTAGTTTACTAAGAGCAGCAAAAGTAAAAAAAAAACAAGAATTTAGAATTCAAATAGTTTATAAAGATTTTTCTTGTTCGGGTTCAGTGCAAACAAATTGAGTTGCCTTCACATCTATATCGGGTAAGTGAAAATTATGTGAAATAGTTAAACATTCATTGGTTGGAAATTATGAATAGTGAGAAGAAGTTTAACTTACCATACATAGTTAAACTACTTTTCGTCATCCAATAAAGGTTGGCTTAGCACAAAGATGCACATGTTAATGTATGACAAACTAGGTTAATAGGCACCATATATCACAGAAAATCATGATTTTTATCATTAAACGTTTTTTTAAAGAAAATGATAAACCAAAAATTTAAAAGTTTTCTTCACAAATACGGGTGTACAGAGTATTGTTATGACTTGGACAAGATTTATTGTTACTGAGGGAGCCACTGGAAATTCAGTGTACTGTGTCTTTGAGGGTATTAATTGTTACTCCCCCAGGTTAACCCCCATAGACCCTCGGAGAGGGAGTAACATGGAAAATACGTCCGAGGATCAACAGAACTTCCCAAAAGATCAGAATATTCATCGTGATGATCAGAAGATTGATCTGGAAGATCATGAGGAGATAATGGATGACGATCTGAAGCAAGAAGCTGAAGATCAAAGGATCCTTGTAGAAAATGTGGAAAGTTTGAACAGAATATCTGAGAATATTGAAATCAATACAAAATGTATTTTTCTTATAGCCCATCAGGAATCCTTCTTTATTAAAGTTCTAGTGTTCAAAATTAGAAAATAATTCATGTTAAAATAAGTTTATTATTCTCATTATTTTGATTATTATATCGGATTGAATGAAAAGTGAGAATTAGTTAGATTTAATTTTTCCCTAATAAATGAAGTCAAGTATAACCACACTAAAGAAGTAGTTCAACTTTTCGTACTTAGTTCAACTGCTTCTCGCTTTTCATTATTTCCGACCTCAAACAATTCTGCTATTTTTCAAATTCAAAAAGTGTTTGCTTATGTTCGGTTAAGCATGAAAAGCTCGTATGCCGACATTTTTAAAAGCATTTGTAAATTTCTCCTCTTCTATAAACGAAAACTTTAATCAATATTTTCATTATATATCTTTATATCAAAGCTCCTGGCTCAAATAAATATTCTTTTTAAAGTACCCGGCATTGCCCCTAAAAAAAATTAATAATTTTGAAAAAAAATTCAAAATTTTGTTTCGCCATAAGTTACCCGCAAGTTACCCATAGGTTTCCTCAAAAAAAAGTTAATCAAAGGAATTGAGTCTTTGGAACAAAATCAAATATTTAAACCCCAATATCTTTAGAACCCGATGGCGTAAACTTTTGATATTTCAAACTCAGATTACTTGATTTAACAGAATTCATAGTTTGAAATATCTAAGGTCTACAACATTTGGTTCCAAAAATATAGTGATTATAAAATCAGAGTTTGTGGCAAAAACTCAATTCCTTTGGTTTTGAGCGAAGAGCTTTATTACATAAGAAGACAAATATATCAATTAGCAATATATATGTTAGCTTAACTGACCAAACATCATTTAACCAAAGGATTTGAGTTTTTGCCACAAACTCTGATTTTCTAATTTCAAAATCGTTGCAACCCAATGTCGTAGACCTTTAATATTTCAAACTATGAATTCTGTTAGATCAAATAATGTAAGTTTGAAATATCAAAGGTTTACATGATAAGGTTGCAAAGATATAGTTTTTACACAAACTGAATGTGTCGCAAGGACTCAATTCCTTTGCTGAATTCTTTTGAGGGAACCCTTGAGTGTACCCATGGGGGTAACACAGGCTGAAAAAAATTTCCAATTCGAATTTTTTTTGTGTTTGTAAAATTCCACAGACAACGCCAGGCGCTTCAGCTAATGAAAGATATTTTTATAGATGGATAATTAGGTGCAGGGGCTTAATAATATTAAAATAAAAGGCAGAAGTCCTACACTGATATTTCTTCAAATACAAGAAAATATGAAAATCAATTTAGGCATAATTCATCATTTTACATCTAATGGAATTAACAATCGTTATGGTAAAAATGCATTTACAAATAAAATCAATAAAGTTTATATAAAGCAGTTATTTTAAACAATAAAAAGATTGAAAATGCTGACAATCATAGAAAATGATATTCTATAAAAAATTCTTCTGTTTCTTTGAAAACTATGCAATATTGCAATCTGCTGTCTATAAATGTCCTATCAACAGTATAGACAAATATTGCAATCTAAAACCATCTTAAAATTGGGAAACTCTGAAATAATATTTCCTCTTTGGACATTAAATTATGCCTGGAGTTTTCTCGTTAAAAGACAACTAACTTAGAATTTTTCAAGGGGATCATGGAGTAATCTATTAATATCATCTTGGGTTTCATGAGTTTTGACCGGTCAGATATCTAAACAAATAAACAAACTTATTTTTATATTTCTATAAAATTTTAATAAATTTCTTTCCCTTAACGTTTTTTGGATTGAAGTACAAAATTTAATCAGTTAAAGCGTTTAATTTTAAGATAAAAGTGGAACGTTATAATTTTGTATTAAAAACAAGCATGAAAAATATCTCGTAGAATTATGAAACTAATTAGATGTACCTTACGTAGCAATTCAAAGTAATGGACAATCTTTTTTGTACAGGTAAACACGTTTATTGAACGAGAGACAGACAATATTAAAATTAACACAAAGATATGTTTGTGGAGTTTAAAAGATATCAAATGTAAAAATCACATATAAAATATTCTGATAAGGTTTTTTAACATTACTTTACATTTCTTGTGCAGAATTGTAGAATTTTGCAGGAATAATGAAATTATAAAAAAATTTGTATTTGATATTTCAGAAATCAGCACGGGGAAATATTTCCTGGAGTTTGGTCGAGTAAATATTCTAAACTTATGTACAAGGGTTTAAAGGGTGTACATGATAATACGGCTGTACTCCAATCTAATAAGGGTCACTTTATCAGGTGAAATAAAAATATTTGGCTTTAAATATATTATACAACATATATATATTTTATTTTTTAACATTTATTTTTTATAATTCATTTTTTATAATTTTTATAATATAAAATGGTACGAGGCATAGCTAATAATTTCAAATATTCATCTTTTTTCTCCTTTCTCCATTTGCACGTCCGCAGTTTCTCTTTTTCTTGCCTCTCTTTGCATCTTCCTTTTATGGCGCTGCTGTTGAAAGAATGTTTACGAGTTGCTGTCTTTGCGCCAGTATAAGACAGTTCAGGATCACCCTTTCACTGTATAGATGTACCCAGTACCCACCTCCGATTTTTGTTTTGCTTAATTGCAATTGCCGTCTCATTTCTGAACATTCTGTCTACTTGCATGTGCTAGGTCACCACTCCTGCACTTCAAGTTAGTTATTATTTGCAGCCAGGGAGCAATAGCTTCCATAGGCTATGAACCGCACATTTATACTTTCCTGTACAAGGAGGGGTGTTATTCAACAAAGGATAATCAAGTGACCCGCTCAGAGGTCATTATGTTATAGAATCCAGAAGAGAAATGTCCTCAAGTCTCATTTTGCTGCTTGTGAGAAGGTTAGATGGTAGGTAGAGTGGAGATGAGGATAAGGGTTTGTAGGAGTGGCATTTTAGAATTTCATTAAAATCATTCCATTTGTCCACATGTTATACTGTTTCCCAGTCCAGCAGAATTCCCTAGGAAGTATTGCATTTAATGTGCACCGCTGCATGCAGAATGTGGAGTTTTCCCCTTTTATCAGCTCTGGACAGGGCCCTTCCAGAAAAGGGCTCTGATCGCTAAGTGGAGTGGATATAAAACCGGATTAGTATTGGACATATTAGGTCTTTTTTATTTGTATAGCTTGACTTAGTACCCCAGCCGTGAGCACTGTAGTTAAGAAGGAGGCTGGCTAATTGAGCACAGGGTTCAGGGTCGCTTGGCCTTCCCTCCCTCCATATGTGCAGACACCTTTCTCAGCGTCCACTGCAAGTATAAGTGCAGAGAGCTTTCTAGCAGAGCTCTGCTATCCTAGGCTTTAGGAACGCAACTGATAATTTTTTTTATCATGCAACGATATGACCCACAAAGAATGAGACTTCAGACTCTGAGACGACTTTCCGGAATCTATAAAGCCTTTTTTTCAAATTAATGGTTAGCTTGAATTCATCCCTTGATTTTTTTTGATGGACCTTTCGGTCGTCAATAAAAAGTTTCATTTTTTACTTACATATTTACACATATTTTGTTTTAAAAGTCACAAATTTTTAAAGCAAGAAGAATTTGGTGACATTTTTACTCTTTTTTAAATTTTAAACTTGTAAATTAGTCCCGTTACTTTATAGAATAGATAAACTTTTATTTTCCTTTGCAAAGTTGAAATTTATTTTTTTATTTTTATAATTAGAAGTAATCAACTAAATTTTTATGAAATTATTTTTAGGATAGCGTACAATAATTATAAGCCAAGGTTCTATTTTGAGAATAATAAATGTGATCAAGGAACTTTTGAAGGATTGTACTTATGTACTTATATAGGTAGAGAACTATGTTTTTTAAATATTAATTTATTCGTTTAATCATAAAATCTTAAAAATAAGTTTGATTCGATGGTAAACCTGATTCGATTTCTGGAGAAAAAAAAATAAAAATCTTAACCAAAACCAAAAGCAATGTATATGACTTAAAAGGGTCCTTCTCAAAAAAAAGTTTGACATACAAAATCTATTCGTTCCATGCCTCCTCTTTAAAAATTCATGAAGTATTCCTATAAAGAATATAAGATGTGTCCAACTACTTATATTTAGAGTCAAGGAATTTGTCGAATGAGTTTATAGATTCAGATTATCTGTGGGGAAGCTACGATAACAATACTGGAACCTGGAACGGGGTTGTAGGAAAGGTTGGTTCAGGGACTGTTACAAAGTTGTTTGTTTAAAAAGGGACTGTTTACAATATTTAAGAATAAAATTGTGTCTTTAATGATTCACATTGGTATTTTTAAACTTTTTATCTACATGTTAGAAGTTAGAAGGAGCCTTAAAATTATGTCCGTATTTTACTTAAATTACTTTAAAAAATCGAAATTATCAACATCTAATTCGGTATTTCGAAACAATGCTCAAATTTTTTATTCCTTTCAATGAGTTCATTATCACAAACCAGCCAGCGGCTTTACTTTAAAGCGATTTGTGGATTTCTACGGCAAATACATGCAACATTTTTCATTTTTAGTTAAGATGATTTTGGGTCAATGTTTAATTTTTAATGTTGTCTACCATAGGTCGGATACGGAAATGCAGACATTGGAGTCACATTTATATCCTATACTTATGAAAGGTATTCAATTTTCAAAATTAACAAAAAATGCTTTGTTTTGTTTTTAGAATTCAGTTTGTAGCGTATACCCTGCCCGTGGGTCTTGATGTTAGCAACTGGATTTCAATGGTGAAAGCAATTTTATTATTCTTCAGCCTTCAAGAAGTCAAAATTTTCATATTTCTTTACTTCTGTTCTTCCATTTTATTTTACACTTTAATGTAACACATTCAATTCACATTTTTAAAACTCAGTTTAATCTGAAACAAAATGGCCGAGAAGTAAATATTAAATCATGAATAAAATGGTATTTAGTATCCAGGCAAGGTTTCTCCTGCGACTAATATTGTGAAGGTTAGTATTAAATTTAGCTTAATTCGCAAACAATGAGTTTTAAAGATAAAAAAAATCTCGGAAAACATTTGGATTTGGTTTTCTTGGCAACCTAAACTCTTTAAAACTGTGTACTGAGTGTAAACATCTTTTACCGGCCCGACCTGGCCTAACCTAAATTAATGTACCGTACCGATTTTTTATAACGTCGTTGCCCGGCTGAGTTCATTCACTGTTAAGTCCGGTTCATTTCAAGAACCGGGCCGACATCTAACCAGCTAGAGGGAGCTGTACAGTACACATGCAGATTATACCAGGGAAAACGGGATGGTACACCAAATGAACCAGCCGCTTCTAGGGAAATTCATGTTTTATTGTGTCAATTTGAAATTATCTATTTCATTTTAGGTGTTTGATACCAAGGGTTGGATTGCTATAGGTATTTGGTGAGAGTACGCATTAAAAGTTTATTTTTTTCATGTTCTTACAAATAATTGTTTTAGTACTTTAGCTATTGGATTTGCATTACTTTTAGTAAGGTTTGTGGGTCAGGATATAGAATTCAAACAGGTATTTTGTTATGATCCATTTTTAAGAATTGTCTTTTCAATTTTAATTATTTATTAGCCTGATGCTGTTCTGGTGATGCTAATGCCTTTGGCAGTATTAAATGCTGAACAGATGCCAGATTGGTTTATTTTGAAAACAACTAGAGGTATGTATTGTATTTTTTTGTTATCTAGAGAAATCAAGATTGCCTACTCTCGATGCACTATTAAATTCTATTCTTTTGGTTGTTCATAGTTGATCCTAGATAGTTTAGTGAAATCAAAAACAATTGATATTTTTGACAGATTTTAGCTTTTTGTTAATTTGCAAAATCTTAAATCCAAAAATGTGAAGCTCTTTTCCCCTTCACCTATTCCCCCTTCTATAATTAACACATATCCAGATAAAAATACATAAAAATACATAAAATACATAAAAATACATAAGAATACATAAAAATACATAAAAATACATAAAAATACATAAAAATACATAAAAATACATAAAAATACATAAAAATACATAAAAATACATAAAAATACCCATATTTCTAGTTATTTCTGGAAGTATTTTATTAATGTTCTGGTCTCTAGCTTCAACCTTACTTACTCTAGCATTCTCATCAAACCTCAGGTTATTCTGAAATTTGTTTTAAAATTCCTTGTTTCGAAAAACGGGGCAAACACGGAGATTTTTTTTTTGCAAAGTATGACTTCTAAGCAATAAGAAATAAAGCCGTGAGTAGTAAAATGATGTACTAAAATTGCATTCATGAAAAAAAAAATATTTTAGGGCAATTATTCTGACCCCAACATATGCCACCCCTATAGACACTGCTCAACAAATAGTTCAGGCAAATAAGGTAAAATAGATCACGTGACACGTGCCTCCAATGGATTTCCAGAAGGTTTGTGGGCCTCCAATGGTTTTCCAGAAGGTTTGTGGGCCTCTAAGGGATTTCCAGAAGGTTTGTGGGCCTCCGAGGGATTTCCAGAAGGATTTTGGGCGCCAGCAGGATTTCGGTTTTGAGCCCCCCACCCCCTTGACAGTAAAAAATGTTAAGCCTCCGTACCCCGGGAACAACTCTTGAAACAGCCTGTAATGATATCTGCAGTAGCTGTATCTCTATCTATATACTTTACCGCTCTTATCATATTTTGTATTATAGTTCTATCCTTAGTTTTGTTACCTGGCCGGTCATACCGGTCTGTATAATCATGTTTATAAATAAATCAGTTGAATGCAATCTGCAGTTGTTCAGTATAGACGGAATCAGCCTGGGTAGGCTAATTAGAGTTAGAGGTGGTTTAGCAGACATCAGTCCGGGTTAACTGACAGTTAGAGTTTGAGGCAGTTAGCCATACCACAGTCGGGATTGACTGATAGTTAGAGTTTGAGGCAGTTTAGCCATACCACAGTCGGGATTGACTGATAGTTAGAGTTTGAGGCAGTTTAGCCATATAGCAGTCGCGATTGACTGATAGTTAGAGTTTGAGACAGTTTAGCCATATAGCAGTCGGGATTGACTGATAGTTAGAGTTTGACACAGTTTAGCCATATAGCAGTCAGGATTGACTGATAGTTAGAGTTTGAGGCAGTTTAGCCATATAGCAGTCGGGATTGACTGATTGTTAGAGTTTGAGGCAGTTTAGCCATACAGCAGTGGGGATTGACTGATAGTTAGAGTTTGAGGCTGTTTAGCCATACAGCAGTGGGGATTGACTAATGGTTAGAGTTTGAGGTAGTTTAGCCATAAAGATTAAGTTTGTTGTGATGTCTAATTTGTATTATATGTGGATGGTAGTAGGAACAGAGTTTTGAGTTGAGCAACTCTGTTTTTGTCTGAACATGTACGCTTGGATTGATTATTCTTTTTTTGCACCTATTGTGATTTGTTAAAATTAAATACACTAACGCTTAACTTAATTGTGGTACCGATATTTTGAATTGCTAGTTTGATGAGGCATCAAATTGTATCCCATTCAGTATTTGTAAACACTCTTTTTAACTTTTGAAATCGGTTCTAGAGGATACATCTCTCCTATGAACAGGGCTAAGCTCAAAATTATATTTAAATCCATACCATTTTCGAATTTCCTGCAAAATATTCTAACTATCCTTTGTTATCCTTTCATCCTACTTCATATTTGTAAATAGGAAAACCCAGGACCGGGATTAGTATAACTCCCTCTATAAAACATGTATATATATACATATACTTTATATTTGTATTGTTACAACATTATATGCAATATGACTAACATTCAACTAGTTTTGCATATATTTATCTGTATGATTTTTATATTGCATTATCTGGAACTAACCATATGACGCCTCTTAAATTAAAAAAAAAATTATAAAAAATGATTAAATTTTTCCAATTTAGCTTGCTGTGCTGGAGGACTCGACTTGGCAGTTAGAGTTCCTACAATCCTCTCCTAACCCCTGGCAGCAACAAGTTCTTAAACGATACAGGAATAGAGATGTAGAGGTATTTTTTAATAAAATTCTCTATCTCTATTCCGAACCGTAATCCAGTCCAGAATTGAACCTTATCGAGTATCAAATCCGGGCAGTGTTTACGGCTTTGAACCTCCTTCCCCTGCACTTTAGTATAATTTCAAAAATCCTGTTTATTTTTTCCTCTAGCCTTCCAAATTTTCTTTGTTGTTGAAACGATCTAATGCCCGAAACAGATAAAATGGTTCTTTAAGCGTTCAAGGGAAATGTGTTAGATAATTTCCCAAAGGCATTTTCCTAAGGGCGACCTCCCAAGTGACAATTTCCCAAGTGAAAATTTCCCAAATGTGCAATTTCCCAAGCAGAAACTTCCCAAAGGTTGTGTTAAGCCTTCTAAGGCGCCGCAGGCTGCAATTGGAGGCCCGAGCGCCATAGCTTGCACAGGATAATGGGGGGACCAAGCGCTGCGGCTAGAAATGTCTAGGGACCGAGCGGCTAGGACAGACTTGTGAAGTTGCCGCTTGGAAAACTGCACATTTGAGAATTTACCACTTAGGAAACTACCCTTGGGAAGTTGCCGCTTGGGAAAATGTCCTAGGGAAAGTACCTAACATCAAGGGAAACACTATTTCAATCATTTTTCTTTCTTATTTAATCTTAATAATATATAAACCCCCTGTTTTAGAAGCAGAGTTGGGAAGATCTAATCATGAGTTTAGTATATAATCCTAATGATGTAATCATTGAAGCTGAGGTTTGGATATATTAATTTTTAAAGGGACTGACGTTGTAAGTTCAAGTGTCACTCCATTAAAAATTGGGCATGCGTGATTCGGAGAATGGGACAGTAAAGGAAAAATGAATTTATAAGATGAAACCAAAACATTTTAGGAGTTCTATCCCTAGATAAATTATCTATTTATCTAGGGTTCTATCTAATGTTCCTGTCTCCAAAAATTTATATAAAGCAGTGTCAAAATTATACCAAACTTATATATTTAAGATTTGGTATAAGGTCCTAGAGGAGCCTGAAAAACTCGGGTTTACTCCTATTATTATTTTAATTAATTAATTTTTCTTTTTCAATTGATATAATTGATAAAATAGTTGATACGTCTGTATCATGTGACAAGAACTCCCACCAATGGTAGTGCTGCAATATATATGTCACATGTCTCTAAATCACGTGACAATGATCATGCACTGCCATTTCTCGAGACAGGAACTTCATAAAGGTCTCGATAAACTCCTGAAGTCTTAGGTTTCAGCCGTAACCCCCTTTCATTTTTCTTTTACAGTCCCTTTAAAATGATTTAATTTCATTTTTTCTTAAAATGTCCCTTTAAGTTGATTTAATTTCATGTTTACTTTACAGTCTTTTTAAATGATTTAATTTCATTTACAAATTATTTTCTTGTCAGGACAACGTCTTGTATTTTGTCCAACAAAACCCAGACCTCGCTAATCTTTCCAGGCCTCCATTCTACTTTAGCAAGGTAGACCTCCATTCTACTTTAGCAAGTTAGACCTTAATTCTACTTTAGTAAGAAAGACCTTAATTCTACTTTAATAAGGAAGACCTTAATTCTACTTTAGTAAGAAAGACCTTAATTCTACTTTAATAAGGAAGACATTATGCATTATAAATTCCCAGTAAATAACCCTGTATACTTTAATTTAAGGAACTTCTACGGCCCTACCATTCGGGCTGGGTTATTCAGAAAGAATCAAAGTGGGAAGACGACATTAATATGCATATTCTTTACTGTCATCAGGTATTACAGTGTGTCCCACGAAACAGGACAGTAGCAAGACGACTTGAAAGTCGTCTTTGATCTGAGAATTTATTTGAGACATTCAGTCGTCAGCCGTCATGTATAACAAAATAGCAACAAAATTCTCCTTTATAATCCAAAATCTCGTATAATATAGAAAGCACAAAAATGGTAGATCACATTTAGGAAATGTCAGGAGGGGTAGTTTGTAATCACTATCTCTAGAATTTTACTTCTAAAATTAGGTTGACAAATAAATGCATCAAATTATAGTAAAATCAAAAACGACGTTCAAGCCGTCTTGCTACGGTCATGTTTCGTGATACATCCAGTATTATTCTAAAATTTAAGCTAGTGATAACTTTTATGTCGTCTTTCATCTTTGCGGGTTTTTTTCGTAAACACTATGGGTTAGTTGTCTCGTCAAAACAATTACCAAATGAAACGCTGAATGTACGTCAAGATATCCAAAAATTCATAGACCCACACAAGGGGGGGGCAAAAGGATTCAGCCCCCCTGGATCTGTAAAATTTATGGTTGTCAGGGGGTTTTCAGGCCCCCGCCCCGAAAGAAGATAAAATTTGAGTCCCCTCCCCCCTCGGCTGGGACAATGGAGTTACAATCTTTTTTCCTAAATAAATTAAATGATTAAACATGAAAGCGTCATCCAAAAATAAAAATATGTATTTGGTCGAGCCTTTATAAACATAATTAAACCGTTTAAAATTAATTTGAGTTTTTATAAAGGATGGATTTGATGTTTCAATTTTCCATCTTGAATAAGTTTCATTTAAGTTTAAAATGTTTATTTAGTCGATCCTTAGTAAACATCCTACCCTTCTAAATTCAACTTGTGTTATAAAAAAGGCTGGATTTGATGTTTCGATCTTCAATAAGTTTGGAAAAGATCGTTCAGTTGGAAAGAATCCAGTTTCTGATCAGGTAATAACATTTCCCTAGTGTTTATATTTCCAACATATATTGTCTGCCTTTTTTGTGCTTTCAGTATTACCATAATTTCATATATGTTTAAGACAATTTCGGGTTTCTTAAAAAAATAAAATTTATCTTCTGAATATGAAATCAAGAAGTTTACTACTACAACTATGTAAATATATTGTTTCGTAGGATACCACTTAGATTGTAAACCACATTTTGGAAAACTTGTACACTCTTAAGGATCTTTTTGTACACTTTTTATTTAATAGTTCAATTTCTCAGTCGTATTACCCTTGGTAATACCCTGAGATAACTCTAGAGTTAACCCTAGTTCCAGTTTCTTAGACCTTCAATACCCTGGGTTACGATCGACTCTAGAGTAAAATTACCTAGGGTAGAGAAAACTCAGGGTAGACCCTGAGTTTTACCCAGGGTAGAATGCGCTAACAGAGACCAGAAAATAAATAAAAGATGATTGCATAGTTTAGAAAAGCGAAATAATATATTTACGATAAAATAAAATAAAATTAAATCACTTGGAAAAAAATGAGTTTTTAAGCAGGTAATTTTTCTTTATGCCCATCCATTATTTCTTTAACAAAATTGATGCCTGAAAATTTTTTTAATTTTTTTGTTGTGATAAAAACAAGAAAATCATGATATAAAAACAAGAAAATCATGATTTAAAAAAAATAGTTTTTTTCTTATTATTTCTTTTAGTTTTTATTAAAATTCAAAAAAATTTTATTTTTATTTTTTCATTTTATTTAAGTCCAATAAGAGATGACGACTTTAAAACCCAACACATATTTGTTGACGTAATTTTATACACATGCGCAATAAGCAAGTTTTATGTATTTACCCTGGGTAAACTAAATACGTATTGTTCAAGAAAAGCATGCATTATTCTATTCTCTTTGATTATTCTACTCCAGAGTAATTTTGGACTACCCAGAGAAATCGGAGGAAATTTCTACCCAGGGTAGCAGTTAACTCTAGAGTAAATCTACGCTAGAGTTAACTCTAGGGTTTTAGAAATCTTTAAGAAATTGGACTAATCAGTCTAGAATTCGGGGGGTGGTTAAGGTTTCCTTTATTAATTTTCAAAAGTTTTAAATTTCAAACTTAGGGAAAGTTCCGCTTAAGGCCTTTCCTGAACTTAATTGACGTATCCGGGAAAAAATATAGTCTGTATTTCTCTACCTGATTAAAAGTCGGCCCGATACTTCAAATTAACTGGAATTACGGCGAAAATACTTCACCGCCCCTCCTCAACTCCCCTTGGTTAAATTCGGAGTACGCGCTTGCATTAACTAATTAGTTATTTTTAGTTAAATCATAAATAGGGATAACTGTTGTTTTTTTAGGAAAAATTAGGCATAGAACATCTTCTAGTTGCGTTCTTTATTCTTGGTTCAGGCTTTATTTTAGCATTATCAGGTATCATCAAACAAAAATCTTTTAACAAGATAATATCTAAAATTTAAAGATTAAAATTTAAAAAGAGTACTTTCTATAAGAATAGATTTTGTTAAAATTCTTTTATTTGTTAAGGATTTAGTGTGGAGGTCATTGTGTCAAAGAAGAGAAAATATGATGTGTAACAAAACCGAGCTTTAAAGTCTTAAAATAACCTATGTTAACGTTAATAAATCTTAAATTAGCCTGAGCTAAAAACTTTAGAATCAATACTCGATCTCCTCATCGTGCTAATCTGCAGATTAATGTAATCTTTATTTTGAGGATTAGGAAGTGCCAAAAATTCAACCAATCAGAGTGTCGGTTGAATAAACCGAACAGCTAATCAGAATCAGGAAAATTTTAAAGACAATCATTAAGATAACTCTAATTAGTCTGAACCCAGCAAGGATATCCAAAAGATAGTCTGAAAAAAAAAAAAAATATTAACAAACCTTATCATACTAACCTAATGTTGTAAGGGACCTATTTTGAAATACCGAAAATCTTCCATCTTTTTTCAAAAATTTGATATTATTTTACAATAGTGCGTGGCTCACTTAAGCCTCCAATTGAGAGTTCAGACTCTAGCGAGCTCCAGTCTAAGCGAGTGACAGTAATAAGACATTTTTAACAGTTAGTAGTTGTAAATTTGGACTGTCATTACTACTGATCCTATGAACTACTGAAACAAATTGTTTTTCATTTCAACCGTTTTATTTCCAGAAGTTCAAAGAACATCTTCTAGTTTTGTTAATTACTTTAGTCTTTTAATCATACGAGGTATTTATTATTTTATTATGAAGCATTGTAGAGCAGAGCCACGTTCAAAATGTTAACGTTGTTTAACAGATGATTATAAAAATAAACTGCGTTCTCGGAGAGAATCTAACTTTTGAATCACAGAACAATCTGTGAAAAAAACATCTCCAAACTGAGAACATATAATATTATGTTGTTTAAAAGATGATTATAAAAATGAACTGCGTTCTCGGAGAGTTTCTAACTTTTGAATCACAGAACAATCTGTGAAAAAAACATCTCCAAACTGAGAACATATAATACTATGTTGTTTAAAAGATGATTATAAAAATAAACTGCGTTCTCGGAGAGTTTCTAACTTTTGAATTACAGAACAATCTGTGAAAAAAACATCTCCAAACTGAGTACATATAATATTATGCAGCAGACAACATTTTAAAGTCCTTTTAAAATACATTTTTTATCTTCCAGTTTTCCAATTTCTTTCAGAAACTTGGCAAGTTATTTTTAAAGATTTGAGATTGAATAAATTGGTTTATTTGATCAGTATGAATATTTGATGCAAGAAGGGTAATAGTTGCACCATGCTACACGGTACAATTCTACATACAATACAATTACTAAGCATTGATAATACATTAGTTGACAGTGTACTTAAATATAAACAATAATTATAAGAGGGTTTAGCTAAACTTAAAGTATAAATTAGCTAGTAAGTTCATTCATTTAATACAGTACGTGAATTGGAATCAATACGTCGATTGGGATCAATACGTTAAATGTAATCAATACAATTTACAAAAGTTAATGTTACATCATTAAATATCATATTGAAATAAAATGAGATCTGCCAACAGTCAAAGAGTGGGATATGTTTGTACATAATTCGCAAATGCATCGTCAGCCATTGCTTTTAAACCTTAAAAAGTTTAGAACATGTCAAATAAGTTTATAATGAGTAATTTAGTGTTCAGCTTAGTCTTCTTTATGAAGAGGAGTGGTTTCATTTTCAATAGTCTTTTCATCATCCTTTTTCTCGGGCTCAGCGTCCTTCGAGTCGTCTTCCTTTTCTTTCTTGGCAATGTCGTCTTTCTCGGCAGCTTTATGAATGTCGTCTTTAATGATGTCAATTTCATCCTTTTCCTCACTCGTCCAAGTAACCGTGGTCAGATCAGGGTTGAGGTTGGCATTCTCTCCCATTGGTCCAAGCTCACTAACCTGAAAATTGTTAAGTGTTGAATACAGCAAAAATAAAATGGATTTTAATCGATTATATAATAAAGATTCTTTGGTTGGTCAATAATGAAGAATTAAGAGTTTCATCGGTAGTTCCTAGCTCATTGAGAAATGTAAAGCGTTGAAAAAAAACAAAATATAAGGACATTATTAGATTGATTATATTTGAGAAAAATATGGATTAATAATTATTAATCCACATTCATCTTTTAAATCCTTACAAATCAAACGGTGGAAAGGAATTTTTGGATTGGCATGGGGGTGGACATCTCAATTGATAAAGAGCTAGTGAAATATGTTTAGAAAATAATTCTCCCTCCACTATTCTAATTCCACCCAACCATAAATCTCTACAGGACTGTAGCTAATGTTAATTCAAAATAATATTCTAAATCTTGACCACCCCTAAATCATCCAATGTTTCCTCATATCATATTTATGATTCCTTAAGCTTGAATAGAAACGAACTTAGTATACAACATTGGCCAAAACATTTTGAACATCTTTGTTTTAAAAGAAACTTGTTCTCATAGTAGAAACCCATACATTTTTCTCTCGATAGAATAAAATTCAACATCTGAATTTGGGCTAGGACTTTTATGAACTCAGGCTGAATGGTTTTGAAGGCAAGTTAAGGATTAAGAGGGTTTACAGGGAAAGGGGGTGATAGAAATATTTAAGGAAATCGAAAAGATGTGAAACTCTAGAATTGAAGATTGTGGTATTAAAAATATGAGATATTAAAATAAAAAAGATTAAGACAGTTTAAGATTTCTTATCTAAAAGAGCCCTCTGCCCTACTGCTACTGCCTGACCGTCTCTCATTAAATGTGATTGCCCAGGGCCAAGTTAAACCCAAAATATACATAACAGATGGACAAATTTTATTCAAATAAACTCCATATAAGGTTAACATTCTATCAGAGCATCTAATCTACTAGAAATTTCCAAATACACCTCGAATAGGAGTTCAAACTTAAAACTGATAATCAGTAATTATAAATTATGTTTAAAATGTAGATTTGTTCAATTAAATTTTGTCTCTAATTGTTAATCATATCATAGTCTAATATTCGTACAGAAAAGATGCAGGAAAGATTTTTTCAGAGTTTTAATACTTTTACCTTTTTACTCTTTAACGGTTTTTTTTGTGATTTGGATTGTTGCTTTAACTATTTAAAATGCGTTTTCATCTTTTTTTACCAATTTTTGTTCTATTCTTAAATCAAGATTTATCCAAGTATTTAATTTGACTGTATCTTGACAGCAGAGTTTTAATCTGGACTATATATCAACAAGGTATCTAATCTAACTATCTATCTATCTAACAAGGTATCTAATCTAACTATCTATCTATCTAGCTAGGTATCTATCTATCTATCTATCTATCTAACAAGGTATCTCTAGCTAGATATCTAACTAGCTAGGTATCTAACTATCTATCTATCTATCTATCTATCTATCTATCTATCTATCTATCTCTCTATATAGCTAGGTATCTATCTATCTAACAAGGTATCTAATCTAACTATCTATCTATCTAACAAGGATCTATCTATCTATCTATCTATCTATCTATCTATCTATCTATCTATCTATCTATCTATCTATCTATCTATCTATCTATCTATCTATCTATCTCTCTATATAGCTAGGTATCTATCTTTCTAACTAGGTATCTAACTCTCTCTATCCAACTAGGTATCTAACTATCTGTCTAGCTAGGTATCTAACTACCTATCTATCTATCCAACTAGGTATCTAACTCTCTCTATCCAACTAGGTATCTAACTACCTATCTATCTATCTAGGTATCTAACTATCTCTCTATCTAGCTATATATTTAACTATCTCTATATCTATCTAGGTATCTAAATATCTTTCTATCTAGCTAGGTATCTAACTATCTCTATATCTAACTAGGTATCTAACTCACTATCCAACTAGGTATCTAACTATCTATCTAGCTACGTATCTAACTACCTATCTATCTATCCAACTAGGTATCTAACTCTCTCTATACAACTAGGTATCTAACTATCTATCTAGCTAGGTATCTAACTACCTATCTATCTAGCTAGGTATCTAACTATCTCTCTATCTAGCTAGGTATCTATTTATCTCTATATCTCTCTAGGTATCTTAATATGTCTCTATCCAACTAGGTATCTAACTATCTATCTATCTAGCTAGGTATCTAAGTATCTAACTATCTATCTATCTATATATCTATCTATCTATGTAGCTTAGTATCTATCTAGGTATCTAACTCTCACTATCCAACTAGGTATCTAACTATCTATCTAGCTAGGTATCTAACTACCTATCTATCTTGCTAGGTATCTAAATATCTATCTAGCTAGGTATCTAACTATCTCTATATCTATCTAGGTATCTAACTATCTCTCTATCCAACTAGGTATCTTACTATCTCTCTATCTAGCTAGGTATCTAAATATCTAAACAATCTCCCTCGCACTAACTAGGTGTCTAAACCCTGGTCTAGACAGGATTACAGATTATATGGCGAGGGGGGATTAACTTTTAAACGATCATTTTTGTAAGTATTTTTAATTGAATCCCGTCCTGCTTTCTATACCATTTTCATAAGCAATGAAGAGCGATTTTAACCAGGCAGTCGAAACGAATGAAATAGTACGTCAAAAAATAAGAATTTTTTGATTTTATTTGATTTGAATTTAATCCAAAACGTATCCGATACCATTTCAACTGATTCAAACTGGTAAGATACAATCTAAATCTTCTGATATATGAATGATGCTAGCGAAGGGTATGAACAAACCCAACATAAGAATAAGATGTAATTCAACTGGAGGGTTACCCGAAAGAGATAAGACTATGGAGGATGATCAAAACCATTGAGAGTAAAAGAAAGTTCGTTTTTGGGTTGAGCCTCTTCTGTTATTGATCATTTTCTGTCATGAAGATTCAGAACAAAATGTACAGAATTTATTAGACCTTGAGAAGAATATTTTCAGGGTAGGCAACCAAAAATAATCCTCAAGCAGTCAAATTTAAAGAACATTAGGTTGTTATTAAAGTTTCATCCTTGTGTGTAAGCCTGCACGTCATCGGGCTCAACTGTTTAAAACCTTTGCAAAACAAACTTACATTGAGATCCTTCCCGTTTTTGATAATTGTCGGATGTGCTTCCTCATCCTCTGTTCCGTCATCATTTGCTCGAACTGCTTTCCAGTTCCTCTTAAACACACTGAAACAAACAGATTTGTCAAACACAAATAATGAATTGACGACCCATTCTTTGTAAATTATTGTCATTTTTCTATCTGTATTCATAAATGTTTGCATATTTTATTTAAAAAATTTTCTGCAGAAATTCTTTAAAAGTTAAGATTTACCATGTGAACATGAGATATTGCATGTTTTCAACCTTTAAACTTGTTTTTTTTAAAGATCTTTTGAAGAGAAGAAAATTTTTTTTTTAAGTTATACTTTACGTTGAGTTTGAAAAAAAGCGCAATAAATTTTATTCTACATTTTCTCATTTTTTGTAACCAACTGTACAGTGTAAGCAGTAAAAGAAAGAAATGTATAAGATAAAGAACCCTGGTTTTTCATAAGGGAAGAAAACTGTATGTTTTCATAATCTGAGTAATGAATAGTGTTTTTATACCTGTAGAAGCAGGGATGAAGCTTCCTCTTATAATGTAGACCGAACACTAGAGATGTTGCCAGTACAATAAACAGTATCATAACTGCTACTCCTGAAATAGGAATAAATGTAAATTTATAATTTTTTGTAGAAATACTTTCCCCCCCCCCTCCCCCTTCTTATTCTTGGACCCCCTTCCTCTACTTAGTAATACTAAGATATAGAATATGAATAAGTTATAAAATCTAAACAAATAAACTATTATTTTTGATAAGATATTATGAAGAAATGCACCTGACTCATTTTTAACAAAAAGTTAGAAAAATTTGATGTCATTGTTGTTTGCTTAAGTACATGGTGCAAAGTGGAAATTTACCAAATAAAATGTAGAGGTTGTGGACCTGGTGGGAAAATCAAAATAAAATTGACAAGGAAGAGAGGTAAACTAAGCAAAAGGGAGAATTTTCATGTGACAAAATAAAAATATTGATGCTTGTAAATTTCAAGAATGAAAAAGGAGAATTATCTGAGAAAAGAAGACAAAGAACGCGGCAGGAAGCATAAAAAACATGGGTAAAAAGGAACAGGAGAAGGATGAGAAGAATAGAATAATAATTAATAGAAACAGATAAAACAAGATAAGGATGAAAAAAAAAGAAGGAACGGGAGAATGAAGAGAAGGATAGAATATAGACGAATAGGAATAGAAGGATCAAGAGAAGAGAAGGATAGAATATAAATGAATAGAAAAAGAAGGATCAAGAGAAGGAATGGAAGGATAGAATATAGATGAATAGGAATAGAAGGATCAAGAGAAGAGAAGGATAGAATATAGATGAATAGGAATAGAACCACCAAGAGAAGAGAAGGATAGAATATAGACGAATAGGAATAGAAGGATCAAGAGAAGAGAAGGATAGAATAAAGATGAATAGGAATAGAAGGATCAAGAGAAGAGAAGGATAGAATATAGATGAATAGGAATAGAAGGATCAAGAGAAGAGAAGGATAGAATATAGATGAATAGGAATAGAAGGATCAAGAGAAGAGAAGGATCAAGAGAAGAGAAGGATAGAATATAGATGAATAGGAATAGAAGGATAGAATATAGACGAATAGGAATAGAAGGATCAAGAGAATAGAAGGATCAAGAGAAGAGAAGGATAGAATATAGATGAATAGGAATAGAAGGATCAAGAGAAGAGAAGGATAGAATATAGACGATTAGGAAGAGAAGGATCAAGAGAAGAGAAGGATAGAATATAGATGAATAGGAATAGAAGGATAGAATATAGACGAATAGGAATAGAAGGATCAAGAGAAGAGAAGGATAGAATATAGACGATTAGGAATAGAAGGATCAAGAGAAGAGAAGGATAGAATATAGATGAATAGAACAGAACCACAGAAGGATCAAGAGAAGAGAAGGATAGAATATAGATGAATAGAACAGAACCACCAAGAGAAGAGAAGGATAGAATATAGATGAATAGAACAGAACCACCAAGAGAAGAAAAGGATAGAATATAGATGAATAGAACAGAACCACCAAGAGAAGAGAAGTATAGAATATAGATGAATAGGAACAGAACGACGAAGAGAAGGAAGAGAAGTATCGAATATAAAGGAACAACAGAAAGAGAAGGAGGAAGAAGAGAAGGAGAGAATATAGATGAATAGGAACAGAACCACCAAGAGAAGGAAGAGAAGAATCGAATATAAATGAACAAGAGAAGAGAAGGATGAGAAGTATCGAATATAAATGAACAACAGAAAGAGAAGGAAGAAGAAGAGAAGGATAGAATATAGATGAATAGGAACAGAACCACCAAGAGAAGGAAGAAGAAGAGAAGGATAAAGAGAAGAGAAGGATAGAATATGGATGAATAGGAACAGAACCACCAAGAGAAGGAAGAGAAGTATCGAATATAAAGGAACAACAGAAAGAGAAGGAAGAAGAAGAGAAGGAAAGAATATAGATGAATAGGANAAAAGGAAAAAAAAAAAAAAAAAAAAAAAAAAAATTGAATAACATAAGAAGTGGAGAAGAATAGAATATAAAATTGAATGATCCGGGAGGACAAAATTGAAGGATCCCGGAGAATGAAAAGAAGGCTACGGGAGAATGAATAGAAGGATCCGGGAGAAAGAAATTGAAGAATCCGTAAGAAAGAATAGAAGGATCCGGGAGAATGAATAGAAGGATCAGGGAGAAAGATCAGGGAGAAATAATAGAAGGATCAGAGGGAATGATTAGAAGGATCCTGGAGAAGGGAAGAAGGATCAGAGCGAATGATTAGAAGGATCCTGGAGAAGGGAAGAAGGACCAGAGAGAATGATTAGAAGGATCCTGGAGAAGGGAAGAAGGATTGAATATGAGTTTAGCAGAAGGAACAAAGAACGAGAGGAGAGAGATCAATTACCAATATGAACCCCGCTATCAGCACTATCAGCATCAGGTACAGGGGTCTCCTCAGGAACATCCTCCGACCTCTCACCAGCCTCGCCAGCAGGGTCCACAGGGGTCAACTCATAATCTTCCTCGTACTAAATTTTAAATATATTCTGAATATAACATTTCGTCGAGTTCATAAATATTCTAAGGAAATCCATTTATCATGCATCCGTCTTTTCTTTTCTAAACCTTTTTTACGTATTAGTGCAAAAACATCGTTAGACCAAAAATGGTCTTTTATTAGTCTATAGAAATCTTAATCTTTATTGACAATCATATCATATCCGCTATTCACGCTCTTGGGCAAGATTTTATTTTAAGGTAATCTTCAAAAAGGAAATGTTTAAAAGACTTAATTTGTAGGGTTGTATGTCCGATTCACAACGGTACCCTTGAAAAGCTTTTTCTCATCAAGAATGAAGGAGAATTCTGAGTCTTTCTCTTTAAAACAGGATCATTTTAATATGTGGTTTCTTTATTAAGGTGAGTTGGTGCAAACAATGGAGTAGCACGACAATATCTTTTATATTATAGATTTGATAAAGGTGTATAGGGTACCGTTGTGAATCAAATATTATCCATGGTCGCTTAAAAATTTCTAACAATGCCTATGCCGTTGCAAACCCCTAATTTGCTGATATTATCTCATTAATTAGACCCAATTTTGTCTCAACTTCTTATGGCATGCGAACACAATCTGATTCTAGAGCTTTAGTGCATACTTTTTGCAATTATAATAATCATAATTATCTTGGTTTTCAAGCTTGCACACTGCACAATAAGGTTACAGGCAATGTTAGGTTTTGCAAATATATCCTTGCCAAAATCATGAAAATTTTTTTAGCAAGGATATTAATCAAGATTGACTTGTAAAGGTTGAAACTATGGGGAGTATTTTAAAACAAAAGGTTTTTTAAAGAAGTTCTGATTGGATTTATTTTAGTATAACCAACCAACCAACCTGCTGATATATCAAGCATAGATATAGGACAGGATATATAATCACAGGGGATGGGGGAAGACCTTGTTATATTCATGGTACATTTTTGTGTTTTGAACTATTCATTGGTCGAGAGGGGGGCATAAATTCCGCTTCTCAGGTGCCCGAGGGGAGGGGGGATATAAACCTTACTATAATCTCTTATAATTATTTATCACACCTCATCCTCATCTTCTGTAGTGCTAGATACAGTTGTGGTTGTTGTGGTTGTTGTCGTAGTAGTTGTTGTGGTAGTTGTAGTAGTTGTGGTTGTTGGAACCTCAACAACCACCTGGAACTTCTGGGACGCCTGGTAACAAATATTTTGATTAAAAATAGATTTAAAATTGTTATACCAAATTAGACATAAAAAGGTATAATAGACAAATAAGCTTTTGTTAAACATGTCGAATTTTAATTTCATTAAAGGAAGTGACAGGCAATGCAAAATATTTTAATTGAAAATGCAGTTTAGAAGAGAAAAGGTTTAACGACATTTTGAAGAAAACTGCGAAGAAACAACAAAGGTAATAATGATAATAAAATTCATGATGAAGTTCATACCACGGCTTTCATCGATAATTTCTTTTGATAAATATGTCATTAAACAGAAAATTAGTGTATACAGTAATTTTTTTACAAGTTTTGTCCGGGTTATTAGATAATTGTAAAAAAAAATTCATATATTTGTCAATTGGACAAGTTTCATTAAAATAAAGAATGATAATTAAAAATATCACAACTTTTGATCCAAATAAGTGCCGAGTTTTTCTTTCTTGATATTTTGACTAAATATCTAAATATTGTTTGTCAGGCATATTACACATTTATTCTTGACATCTTATAGTTAACCCTTTGTCACTTAACTTTTGCTTTCTGTGATTTTCATTTTTCTCCGTTTGCGTGTTTTTAATCTCTATGGTCTTACCTTTGCTCCCTGTCCCCTCTCTCCTCCCCTGATATACTCTTCCAGGTCACATGACCACTCCCCGGTATCTTCAGGACCAGCATTGCGGATTTCTACTCCACACTCGTAATAATCATAACGACCCTGGAGTGGAAAAAATATATCAAAAAACTATGACGGACGGAATGAATTTTTAAACAAAATTTTCGACTAAAACATCACGTTTATTTAGCACAAAGGGGTGTCAGGGGGGGGGTCAGCGATGTTGAGTTTACACCAAAAAAAAACTTTTATTCAAGTCAAATATGGGTCGGTCGCTTAAGCAATTTGTTAGAGAAGTTTCTAAGTCGTCGTTATGTTGAGTTGAAGTTCTAAAATATGACGGGAAACTGGTAATTTCCGTGAAAACTATTAAAATGAGTATTTTAAACACGAATAAGAGACGATACAAATACTTCGTGCGCTTGCGACGCCCCCAAATCTTTTACTAATGGTTGTTAGAATTTCTTTATATATCTAGTAGATGTTTTTCGCAGTCTCCTAGATGTTGGGTTCTTTCCCAAAGGCAATTTTCCCAGTAGCAACTTCTTAATAGTATTTTCACAAGTAGAAACTTCCCAATATTGTGAGGTTAAAAGATCCATTCAAGGATAAATATATGAAATGGAACACTAATTTAAAATTAAAATCATTATAAATCAATGTAAGCTACAATTTTTACATTTTTTGTAAATTAAAAGATTATCAGAATATATTTATTTTGTCCATTAGATATCCATAAAACACAAGACACATGCATTTTAAGATGAGTATTGTGATAAAACAGTCACCNTGCACTCTGACCCCTAAAATATTCCACCGTGCGCCGTCTCTAACAGGAAGGTTACCTGGTATGAAGCTCTGTCTGCATAAGCATCACAATCAGCTACAGTAAGATTCCAAGCTGCTCTTTTCCATTCATAATCACAGATCTTATCTTCATGACGGAATGTACACCACTAAAAAAAAGAACATAGGCAGGTAGGTTACTTAATAGGTAGAAAGGTAGGGAATGAGGTATGAAAGTAGCTAGATAAGTAGGTAGGTAGGTAGCTTAGTAGGTAATAGGTATCCAGGTACGTGTACCTGGTAGGAACTTAGAGGTAGGGACTAGGGCGGGAGGTAATAAGGTAGGCAATAAGGTAGGTAGGCATCTAGCTAAGTAGAAAGCTAGATTAATAAGTAGGTTCTTAGGTAGTTTTGGGTAGGGAGGAAGGTAGATGGTTATAGATCAATGGGTAAGTAGTAAGATATGCAGGTAAGTATGTAGGTTTAGTTAGGTCAAGTAGTTAGGAAAGCTAGTATGATAATAAATGAAAAATTCTCAAAATAAAAAATATTATGTTACAAATGTATTACAAATATTAACATTATAATGTATTTGTATAAAATATAGTGCTTTCTAAAATCTATAGATATACAATAAATATATTATATTTGTAAGACTGTTTAATGTTAACCAATAAATCTGTAAAATACCTCAATATATTTCCTTCCTGTGGAGATAATATCAAAAATTGAGAAGTATTGAAAAATAAAAATTCTAGATTCTCCTACCCCATACCCCTCCCCCCCCTTTCCGAGAAACTGGTATTTTTAGGGTTATCTGCTCTAGATCTTGGCTCCAGGGGGGGTCCTAAAATAAGTGGGCCATCTAGGGGAAGGGAAGATTTATTGAGCCACCCTCCCAACCCATAGGATAATGTACAGTGAAACCCATAGAAAAAATTAAAAAAAGAAAGACGACATTACGCTGTTGTTATAACCCAATAGTTTCACCAGTAGCTGTGTACATTGCACAATTGCTGTGATTCATTTTCATTGGACAAATATAAAATCATAACTAGAGTCTTAACAAATGTATTCCTATTCCACAGTACTAAGGGTCTTACTGGGAACAAATGAAGAAAAAGGTTTAGAAATAGACATTAAACTTTAGGGGTCTGTTGTATGATTAATAGATATAAATGCCCCTAAAGAAACTGCTAAAAATTCCATATAATTAACTGCTCGTCAATCACTGCTGCCGTTGCAAACTAAAGCCCTAGGATTAGGTGAGGAAATTATTATCATGTACAGGGTGTCCCACGAAACATGACAGTAGCAGGACGACTTGAAAGTCATCTTTGATCTTTGAATTTATTTGTGTCGTCAACCTACTTTTAGATGTTTGATTCTTGAAACAATAGCCAAAAATTATCCTAGTCCGAGCATTTCCAAAATGTGGTCTGCCTTTCTTGTGCTGTCAAAAGTCAATATTACCGGAGATATTAAGAATTGCTTTCAGATTTCATTTTTATTAAATAAAATCAAAATTGTCGATATCTGAACGAAATTCTTCAATCTCCGGTAATATTGAAGGCACAAAAAAAGCAGACCACAATTTGGTAATGTTAAAGGTAATATGATCTGTTTAAACCTACTAATTATTTACAAAATTGTATCTATATGAATTTTCGTATAATTTTGACACAGTTTTATATCAAATTCTCGAGACAAGAACATCTCAGATAGATGTCTTGTATGTATCGTTTATTGGCTGAGATTCTCAGGTTTAATCCTACACCCCCTTTTCATTTTTTCTTTACAGTCCCTTTAAGAAAAGGATATTTTATGATTATTAACTTTTTAATCTTACTTCTAAAATTAGGTTTACGAATAAATGCCGCAAATTTTTCAAAGATCAAAAACGACCTTCAAATCGTCTTGCCACCGTCATGTTTCACAGGACACCCTGTGTCTTATATATCTTACATATCTTACATATCTTACATATCTTACATATCTTACATATCGTACATGAAATTTACACACCTTCTATGTAAAATTATATTACATTCGTTGAGAAATACTTCAATAAATCCGTTGAAATAAATATTACTGGTCAGATTTTAGAACATCTGTATCTTGTACACAAAATTTATATAGGATCCATGATATTTTAGCTTTAGGCGAGTAATTACCATTTCTACCATCTATCACAGTATAATTAATACACCATGCGATTATACACATTTGAAATAGGAAAAAGGTGAAGGGTAGGAGGGGGGAGGGGGGAGAGGGAGGCTACAGGGTGTGATTGTATGTGTATTTGAATATTTTCCCAATAGATATATACCAGCATAAATCTACAGGAGTACAGCGTACACCAGTTAAATTGTTTAAAATAAATAGTCTAACATTAACCCCTAGCCTCCTAGCTCTTGTTCCAAAATAGGGTAAAATAAATCTCAACTGACCTACTTTCTGCGTAACAACTAACGACAAAGGTGCGTAATGTGTTTACGCACGAAACTTATTACAAGGATGGTTTAGAATAATTGACAAGATAATAGAATAGTTAAAAAGGAACTTTCGAATGTATGTCCGATTCACAATAGTACCCTACCCCTTTGTCTAACCCAATCATTACTTGTATAAACGTTTAAATATTTAAATATTTAAATATAGAATATTTCACTTTATAAATGGAGGGTCACTTGAAATTCGGTCTCTAGTAGTAGTACCTTTAGAAATAAATTCCTTATCATAAAATAAAAAAAAAATAAAATTTTTTTAAAAATCTTGAATTGAATGTGGGCGTATCGGTACCTAGAGGGGGGGGGGAGATTAGAAAAAAATCTACCCACATTAAAGTCCAAGATGGTAACCACAGTCTTTTCATTCTTCTAGCTTCCTTAGTTTCATGAAGCAACTAATCAACCGAAAAATTGCATATCCCGAAGCTTTTTTCACCCGTAGATAATATATCAAGTACAGATTTAACTTCAGCAAAACATTCGGAAGGTGTGTATTA